ATGTTTTAAGTTTTTCAGTCTTTGCCAATTAGCACAATCTGGCATTGCCATTGACGGGATCAGCCTGGTGGCGCAGCTTCACGCTGCAGTGAGCTGACAGCAAAACATAAAGATGATCTGAACGAACAACCATCTCCATTTTCAACGTGAACCATCTGTCGAGTCTGTAAGTTTATATTTGAGAATATGAGGCCTGGAAGACATTTCATTAGAGTGGAAGTAACGTCATGTGCCGCTTCATAAAATTTTAAAACTGAGATTGCAGGGCTTTATTACCAGAGTGGTCCGGATATTGAGGACTACCCATGGAAATGGACAGAAGTCCGAACAAAATTCAGGCTGCTGCAACTGTTTTAGCTAAGCTAACATAAATCTGTCCATATTTATAGACAACAGTTTGTCATAAACTACTTATTGAAGTCTGTTTGAGATTAATTACCAACTCCACATGGTTTGAGGCGAGTGTGTGATGATTTACCCTCTTAAAAAAAGGCGGTTCTTTAAGGGTTCTTTATTAAAGAAAATGGCCCTTTTATAGAAAACGTTGTTTGCATCATGAAAGGGTTCTTCAGATTGATGGCGAATGTGCTGTAGATGGTTCTGTGTAGAACTTTTTTGAAAAAGGTCCTATATAGGACCAAAAAGAGTTGTGATATCCACCATGTAACAATAGAACCTTATGAAACCTTTATGGTGCTATATGGAACCGTTTTTCAAAAGGTACTGTTTAGAACCATCTACAGCACATTCTCCATCAATCTGAAGAACCCTATCATGATGCAAAGAACACTTTAATCATGTAAAGGGCTCTTTAAGTGTTCATGGTTCTATATAGAACCATTTTATTTACTACAGCACCTTTGAAGAACCATCTTTTTTAAGAGTGTAGGCATAGAGGTGGGCGATATGGCACAAACGTAATATCACGATACTTCATGAAGTTTTCACAATAAACAATATATCACAATATATATGTCATCAGATGAACTGGAAAAGACATAATAGTGGCAAATACTTAAAAAATACTATCAAAAACTTACTAAAGATGGTTCTTTATAGGTTCATTAATAAAGAAACTGGTTCTATATAGAATCGTGAACACTTAAAGAACCCTTTGCATGATTAAAGGGTTCTTTGCATCATGAAAACGTTCTTCAGACTGATTGAGACATACCCTTTTGAAAAGGGCTCTATATAGCACCCAAAAGGGTTCTGCTGTTGTCATGATATCAAGCTTGTTACAATAGAAGAACCCTTTTTGATGCTGTAAAGAACCATCTACAACACATTCTCCATCAATATATAGAACAATTTCACCATGCAAAGAACCTTTAATCATGTAAAAGTTTCTTTTAGTGTTCATGGTTCTATGCAGAGCCATTTTCTTTACTAAAGAACCCTTGAAGAACCATTTTTTAAGCGGTCTAATGTTGCTCTTTTTAATGCTCTGTATGAAATGTGGCTGACAACTGGGTTTTGTCTGTGTGCTCGGCGAGTCAGGGGTGATTTGGGAGTTATAGGTTGTTTATAGTTGAATTTGGCTTTATTTTTTCATTAAAGTCTAGTGTGAACTCTCATTCACTGAGCTCGGTTCTTGTAAATCTGTTGTCAACTCAACTGCAGATATTAAAAATACCTCAATGATTGTAAAGGTGTACGACTTAATGATAATAACCAAAGTCAGATTCAAAATTAAATTCTAATTTTATGATTCAAATGGGGTGAAAAGACCCAATCAGGACTGTGTGAACATTTCAGAGATGGCTTTTGTTAAGCTTTTATTTTCTGGCAGTAACTTTGTTGAATAAACTGTCCTTTAGCTTTGCGCTGCTCACAGGCTTCTGCTTGAGGTGTATGACATCAAACCTTATGGGGTATTTTCTCCCCCTACTGGGCTGGCATGCTAAGTTATTTTTGTGTTCTCTTATTGATGTAGAGATTTTCTGAAACGCTGCTGGTGTGTACAAAGGTTTTTTGAAAACGGTCAGAAAAAATGTTTTTAAAATATCCGGATATGTTTAAGCTTAAATCTGCCCTGATCAGCATTACAGAGAAATATAAAGTTTATGTGAAGGTTACAAAGTTAGTAAGGTACAGATGTCTTAATCCTAAACATTCTGCTCTTCCAGCATACAGTGGATACATCATCAAATACCGGTTTGAAATGCAGTCTTGAAATTAGTCATGAAAAAAACTACCCCTCCTCCATCACATCCTATAGATTCTCCCCTCTCCCTTCAGTTTCCCGTGACACTACCACCACCATGTTTCCTTCGGCTCTTCTACAACTGCTCTCTCTTGCTGGGCAACAGCAAAGCTGTCCAGATTTCCTACCCGAGTTTCTGCCTCAAGCTTAGTTTGGTGGTCCAAACTCAGAAAACATCGGTTAAATCTAATCATCTGTCCGATACCATTACTTAAGGTTACTTAACGTTCATCTGCCCATACTGATATGATTCTGAGTTCTTTTTTCAATATAATCAATACATTTTTTTTTCAATAAACACAGAAAATGGTCGTTTTCCCTCACAGAAAAGTTCAGGACTCACCTTAAGCCCCACCTATTTGGTTTTGTTTTGTTTTTTGTTTGTTTTGTGTAAATACTCCAAGGAAACAAAGCAACAAAGCATCAATCACACATCATCATCATCGTTGAGTTTTATGGCCCGGAGTAATTTATGTCAGAATTTATAATGATTGCTCCAAGAGCCAAGGCATGCCCGGCGTTATTCAGGGCTGAAAAGTGACTGATGCCCTGAGGAACTCGGTGCCGTTCACCATCCCTGATGATCCACCGCTGCTGTAAGTCTGAGATAACTTTACTGTTACCTCATCATGCCCCCAGATCTTATGGTGTACTGTTTATTGGCCATGAGTAATAGACTCTGGTCAGCCAGTTTTTTTGAGTGATTTTAAGTTTGGAAAACAGTCTTCAGTGTACCTTCATTCACTCTCATGCAAAACCTCACCAATCAAAACTTGTTATATCATCAACGAAACCACAGTTAATCATAAAATCGCTGCTGAGAGACTCCTATTGTGCATCTTCGGCTGTGAAACTTTCATCACGGCTGAAACAATCTAATTATTTTTAATTGGTTCGAGCTGAGGTGAAAAAGGCGTATTCCTTTTGACACCTTTCAAGTCGTCTCCTTTCTTTCAGGGTGACGACGTGCAGTATTCATATCTGTGTGAAATTATGTGATTACAGCCATTGGGATTGCTCCAATAAAAGTCTCCTGGAGGTGAAGCCTGAAGAGATGGAGGCTTCTTCGAAAGCTGCGATGCAGCGCAGGCTACTGTCAGGACGTGTGTTGCCACAAACAAAACTCAGTCTATCAGCTCCTCTGCGTTTAGCGGCGCTTCTTAAATGCGTCTATCAGATAAATCAAATGACAGAGGGTGGTTATTATTTTGTGATTAGGATGTTTTTTGCCTGGTGAGCTCTGTGAGCTCCTGCCAGGACTGACTCTGTTATTCTCAAAGCAACTTGAAAGGCGTCAGTGACAATAGCAACTGTTGTCAAACACTAAATGAGATGGTGCCAAAATCACTGTTTGTTGTTTGGGTTCTCATAGCCGCTGGGATGAGGCAAAGGTCATAGGCAGGACACTGTGAGCGGCAATGACCCATTAGCATCGTGGTCTATTTGAACAAACCATTGGCACTGTGGTCGTTTTAAATGAACTGTTGGCATTGCGGTCATTTTGAACGAACCATTGATATCATGGTCTTTTTTAAATGAACCATTGGCACTGTGGTTGTTTTGAACGAAACACTGGCATTGCAGTCATTTTAAATAAACCACCGGCATGGTGGTCATTTTGAACGAACCGTTGGCATCATCATCATTTTAAATGAATCATGTCACTGTAATCACTGAATGAGCACTGAATGAGATCGTGGTCATTTAAAAAGAACCACTGACATTGTAGTCATTGGAATGAACCGCTGGCATTTTGGTTACTAGGAATGACCAACTGGCATTGTGGTCATTTTGAACTAATCATCAGCACTGTGGTGATTTTTGAAAGAAGTATTGGCATTGTATTTATTTTTGAAAGATCTGTTGACATTGTGGTCATTATAAGTGAACTGTTTATATTGTGGTCATCATAAATCAACCATTGTCACTATGGTCATTTTGAATGAATCATCAACACTGTAGTCATTTTAAGTGAACCACTAATACTGTGATCATTGACATTGATGTTGTGGTCATTGGAATGACCCACTGGCATTTTGAATGCAACACTGGTATTATGGTCATTTTGAACTGATTGGCACTGAGGTCATTTTGAATTAACCAGTGGTATTGTGGTGATTTTGAAAGAACCATAGACATTGATATTGTGGTCTATGAGAGTGGGAGGTCATTTCAAACGAACCATTGGCATTGTGGTCAGTTTAGATGAACCATAGGCATTGATATTGTGGTCTATGGGAATGGGTGGTCCGTTTAAAAGAACCAGTGGCACTGTGGACATTTTAAATTAACAACTGGCCTATGGTCATTTTGACTAACCTGTTGGCTTTGTGGTCATCTTAAATGATCCACTGCCATAGTAGTCATTGTGCACTGTGATCGTTCTGAACGAAATGTGGTCATTTGGAATAAAGCACTGTCATTGTGGTCAGTTTGAACGTACCATCGGCACTGTGGTCGTTTTGAATGAAATGTTGACGTTGTGGTCTTTTGAATAAAGCATTGTCATTATGGTGATTTTGAACAGACCATTGGCATTGTGGTCATTTTGATGAAATGTTGACATTGTGGTCATTTTAAAAGAATCAATGGCACTGTGGTCATTCTGAAAGAACTGTTGACATTGTAGTCAGTGAACGAATCATAAGCATTGTGGTCACTGGGAATGTCTGCGGAGTCAAACAGGCACGCATGTCGTTGTTGCTGTTCCCCTCAACGACCCATGATGTCCTTCAGCTTCCTCTTCTTCCTCAGCTTCTCCTCACTGTTCCATCCCCTCTTTCTCCTCTTCTAGGTTTCTCTCAGGAGGAACGTGCCGAAACAATGTCCCGGAAGGCGCGGCTGATGGGGTCCCGCCTCCTCTCGCTTCTACTGGTGAGTCCTGGTAAAAAAAAAAGCCCGCCCACCAACATCCACAGCCAATCAGGAGCAAGAAGAGAAGGCACACATGCACACACACACTGGCACCTACCTGATGGTAGGATCTGCCAGATGAAACAAAAGCCCTTTTTTCCTGTTTAAGCCGACGCTGATAAAGTTTCTTTTGTCACCCCCCTCCTTTCCCACAATTTTCTTTTAGATGTCGACTTGCAAAATCCCTCTGGCAGCGTTCCCAGAAGTTAATTTCTCTGTGAAAGTCCCTTAATGATAGGCTTTTAATCCCCCCGTCCAAAAGGCCCAGGGATTAAGGGGTGTTAGGTACGTATCAACTGGGACGGGACTGCAGAGGAGAGGGAACGTAATCCCACTTATTACGACAAAATTACACCCAAAACGCACTTTATACGGCAGCTTTGCGACAATCCCTACCGCACAGGAGCTCGTCACGTACCCTGCTCATCAAAAGTTTATGGACACATAGAGTTTCAAAATGTTTTTAATACATATGTGCATGTTTTCTTTAGAGATTCACACGAACATGTTAGTGTTTTCATTTAAATAAGAGTGAAAACAAACACATGGATCAGATGCAAAAGTATAGCTGGTCTGTTTTACTGTCTAAAAGAGAGCAGATCACTTGAAGCGTGTTCCTCAGCAATTTTGCCCCACTGAAAATCTACGTTATAATCTTTAAGTGCTCTTTTATGTGGAGTTGTACACATAAATGTCATTTTTCTGCAAATTGTAGTGTCAGTTTCTGTTTATTTGCTGAGTTTAACACACTAGAAACCACACAATATAAAGTGTGCCATGACTTCTCTACAATAGCTGTGTTCCAATTCAGGGGCTACATCGATCGAAGGACGTGGTCTATGAAGGCGTGTCTATCGAAGGCTGTGTAGACCCGCGAAGCCTGAATCGAAATGAGACGGTCTGCCCTACAGCGGATTTCCTGTTTGTGTCACAGCACCGCTGTTCCCACCCTCACCGCTGCGCCACGAAACGCCACTCCTGTCAAGTTGTTTTAAAGTTCTTTAAAGATGGAGAAACTTTGATTTCAGTTTTTTATTTTTTCATTTATTAGAGCTGGAGCTTCTTCTCTCTGGCGGCTCTTTGCTCCCTAAAACAAAACGAAACATTAGTGTAGGTTTTGACTCAGACCACATCGGCTTTTTAACATCTGTATCGTTCGCTATTCGACTCAGTTTAAACCCAATACTTACATTTAAAGCGTCTCCTCAGCCGCCGTTCGCTCCTCTGCTGACGCCGCCATGTTCTCAAATCCTCGGCCACAGTGAACCTCGGGATCTGTTGGCTGGTGAAGGATCCACCTGTTGGGTCTTTCATTGCCATGGAAAAGAAGGACACATTTCTGGGCCGCATATGAAGGAGGCTTCGAAATGGGACAGCCTAGTCGCACCGCTGTGACGCAATCAGCCTCCAAATGCAGCCTCCGAAGGATGCAGCCCCTGAATTGGGACACAGCTAACGAACCATTTCACTTCAAACCACTCTGAAAGACTTTCCCCATGAATTCCAATTGAAATTGTCTGGCAAAACCGGAAAAGTCGTGCTTTGTGAAATAACCGCCTGCTCTTCATACCAAGAAGACACGTTGATGAACCTAAAGCTGAGTGTTAAAATTAAATATGAAGCATAAGAGCTGCAGGTGTTTTTTCATCCCCCATTAAAAACAAAAACCTGTTATGGAAAATTCCAAAAAAGCCGAGGTGTCTCCAAGCTGTTCTCCACCTTGTTGCCCCGGATTCGTCCGCGGCTCTTTGTTCTCGTCCCCTCTCGCGTGTTTGTCCGCTCGGTTTCTGTGAAAAGCGCCGATGTTTATTGGATGAACAAGCCGAGCGTGAGTCGAGACAAATTGAGTTTATTTGTGGATTTGGCTCCGCCGCTCGCTGCTTGTGCAAACAAACACATACACGCACTCACACACAGCGGTGGAGGTTACTCGCCACAAGTTGACGTTTGAGGGGGAATTTGGGCCGTAATTAAACCACACACAAACTGGAATGTAATTAAAGCGGGGGGCGGGGCTGGATGCTGATTGATTGTCTCGGAGAGACAAGTCTTGTGGTCTGTAGCTTCGGCTCGGGGGGCGTGTGGTGGACTGGACGAGTATGATGTGGAGTGTTCGTTTTATGTGTGTGTGCATGCTTGAGGCTATGGGGTTCGTGACCTCCGACCCCTTTGCTGCCAGTGTCCATCTGCTGACCGTCTGTGGATGTTCAGCGGGACCACCTATGGTCCACCTGGCCAGGAACACATTACAGAAATGCACAGCCGTATCAGAATATTAAAAACATATCACTGGTAGTTTCTTTTGCTGTAGTTATGAATGCTTCTTTAGCTTTAGCACTGCAGCTAAAGCTAAAAAGTAGAGCAGTTAGCATGGTGCTAACTTGGTGCTAAATCGTCACATTCTTGCCCCAAACCTATAAACTATAAGCAGCATCTATAAACATGAAAAGTACGTCACATAGATACAAACCTACGTAAAGCCTGAACGCTTTAATGTAGTAGTTACTCACTGAGTAAAGGTTAAATATGTAAACATTTCAACCCAGGGGGTCACAGTGTTGGGGCAGTTACTCAAAAAGGTAATCAATTACAAATTACTAATTCTCTCAAACTATAATGAGATTACTTTACTGATTACAGCCTGAAAGAAAGTAATCTAACTACTCATTACTTTACATCTTGGCCAAATTGGTCAACAGAGTCTGGCTGCTGACCTGAACTCTCAGACAGATGCACTCTCAGCCCCAGTGACGTCACGTGCACATGCACTCTCTGCCACAACGGCAGAAGCAGCTCAACGGCACGGTAACGTTTGGCTGCTTCTGCTTTGCGACATCATCACTCAATCCAGATTTAATGAACCTCAGTGTTGAAAAAAATCATAGAACCCATTAAAAGTGCCTGTTGGTTCCTGGTGGTTTCAGCAGTCGCTAATGGTATTCTGTGTTATCCTGATGGGTTGATATCACAGTGTAAAGGATTGAATCCTTTAATCAGGTGTTTTTGGGGCTCATTCAAGATACATTTGTTTGTTTTCTAATGGTCTCTAATGGCAACTATCAAGCCAGTTCCTGTTAAGAAGCAAAACCATCAGGTTTTATTCCTAACAGTTCTAATCGTCTTCAGCTTGGCTTTCATCAGTTTCAGCCGTAGCCTGTTTGTTTTTTCTGTGAATAAACTCCACATTCATGTTTTTGTTGTTGTGGTAGGTTTTATTTCGAAAGTTTCCATATTTAATTACCTTATTATTAGTATGACAACATTAATATACACCGATCAGGCGTAACATGATGACCACCTCCTTGTTTCTGCGCTCATTGTCCATTTTATCAGCTCCACTTACTATATAGGTGCACTTTGTAGTTCTACAGTTACAGACTGTAGTCCATCTGTTTCTCTGATACTTTGTTAGCCCCCTTTTACCCTGTTCTTCAGTGGTCAGGACCCCCATGGACCCTCACAGAGCAGGTACTATTTGGGTGGTGGATAATTCTCAGTACTGCAGTAACACTGACGTGGTGGTGGTGTGTTGGTGTGTGTTGTGCTGGTCTGAGTGGATCAGACACAGCAGTGCTGCTGGAGTTTTTAAACACCTCAGTGTCGCTGCTGGACTGAGAATAGTCCACCAAACAAAAATATCCAGCCAACAGCGTCCGGTGGGCAGTGTCCTGTGACCACTGACGAAAGACTAGAGGATGACCAACACAAACTGTGCAGCAGCAGATGAGCTATCGTCTCTGACTTTACATCTACAAGGTGGACTGACAAGGTAGGAGTGTCTAATAGAGTGGACAGTGAGTGGACACAGTGTTTAAAAACTCCAGCAGCACTGCTGTGTCTGATCCACTTGTACCAGCGCAACACACACTAACACACCACACACCACCTATAGAGTAAGTGGAGCTGATAAAATGGACAATGAGCGTAGAAACGAGGAGGTGGTCATAATGTTATGCCTGATCTGTGTAAATACAGTAAACAGAATTATGGCCACAGGATTCGTTGACCTTTTTTGTGGTTTCTTCAATGTGTTTCACATTTTTGGTGTCACTGTTTGACTCGTGTGTTTGTGTGTGTGTTTGCAGGTGTCCAGTGTGTGTGTGTTGAGGGCAGAGTACTCCAGTTGTGGAGAGAATGAGTTTTATAATCACACCAGCAGCAGCTGCCAGCCATGCCCACCGTGCCAACCAGGACAGGAACCATACATGGTAACAAACACAAAGACTGCTTTTTATCCTAAATGTCGGGATGCAGCGTCGTACAGTCAGTCCAGACGCATTATATACAATATATGACCAGAAGAGTCCAGACAGCTCTGGAGCAGCCACACGTGAGCCTAAGGTCACCATGTCCAACTCCAAGCATGGGCTAGAGGGGTATAAAGCCCCCCAGCATTGGGCTGTAGAGCAGCTGTGTTCTCTGGAGTGATGGAGCTCCATCCAATACCTTTGGGATGAGTTGCAGTTTCAGAACTGACCGTCCAACATCAGTACCTGACCTCACTAATGCTCAATCATATCCTCACAGCAATGTTCCAATGTTCCAAGCCTTTCCAGAAGAGTAGAGGCTGTTACTGCAGCACAAACTCACTATTAACACCCTTGACTTTAGGAGAAACGCTGGTGTCTACAAGCTTTCAGACGTGTTGGACCCGACAGAGTGTACTTGTAGGCAAAAACTCAGTTCTGGAAAAAAAAAAAGTTTGAGGTTCTTTAAACTTGTAAAAGAATTCTTCACTCACACAGCTTATTTACAGGAACAGCTCTTTAATAAATCATTGTTTTAAAGGTTCTTTAGGAAAACTAAAGTGGTTCTTCTAAGAACGTCGCTCCAAAGTCAAAATCGTTATTTATAAAACTGCGATGAGCTTAAGAGGCCTGACAGCTGCTGTGTTGATTCATCTTTGGTGTTTTAGGTTGATTTAGTGGTTTATCCTTGCATTTTAGACAGATTTTGTGATTTAATATTATCTTTTAGGCTGATTTATTTACCTTTGTGTTTTAAGCCGAATTAGTTGCAGTTTTCAGATGATTTATTGATTTTTTTTTGCCTTTTAGGTTGATTGAGTGATTTATCTTTGCTTTTTTAGACTGATTTAGTGGCTGATCTTCGCCTTTCAGGCTCAGTCAGGGGTTTTTCTTTGCGTTTTAGGTTAATTTACTGATTTATCTTTGCAGTTTAGGAAGATGTAGTCATTGATCCTCTATTTTTAGGCTGATTTAACGATCTGTCTTTGCATTTTAGGTTAATTTACTGATTTATCTTAACATTTTAGGCAGATTTAGGCTGATTTAGTGATCTAGCTTCACGGTTTAGGCTGATTTAGTGATTCTTCTTTGCCTTTTAGGTCGATTTAATGATGTATCTTTGTGATTTGTATAGATTTAGTGATTTATTTTTGTGTTTTAAGCTGATTTAGTAATTTATCTTTGTGTTTTAAGCTGATTTAGTAATTTATCTTTGTGTTTTAAGCTGATTTAGTGATTTATCTTTGTTTTTTGGCTGATTTAGTGATCTAGCTTCATGTTTTCTTTGACTTTTAGGTTGATGTAGTGATTTATCTTAGCATTTTAGGCTGATTTAGTAATTTATCTTTGGGTTTTACTCAAATTTCGTGATTTATCTTTGTGTTTATGTTGATTTAGTTGATTTAACCCAGGTATTTCAAACATATATATCCCTTACATGAATACCTGACTAAGGGTGTGAACTCTATCGTGAGTTTAAATATCTGTACGTTCACATAACCACATCCATACCTTATACGCCCTCTCATGCGTGCGTACTAAGCTTTGCGGATAAACATATAAACAAAGAACTATAGAAGTCTCCGCTCTGACGGAGCCAAACCCAGACTAACGCAAGCAGACAGGTGTGTGTGTTTTGACAGTAGTCGTGCTGGAGCTGAAATACACCCTGCAGCGCCTCCTGGCCCACCCAGCCTGCGGCCCCCCACTACCACCCACTCTAATGGGCTCATTCAGAGAAAAACTGCAGACAGGCAGACTTAATTTCTGTAGTTTCCGATGCAATAAAACACATTGTTATCTATAAAAATGGAAAAACTATAGACAAAATACAGATTTTAGGATACTTATCAAAACATACAGTACCAAAAATGAAAGAAGCAAACATATTTTGCTGATTGTAATTGTATTTTTTGCCAGACTTCTGCTTTTAAGGGCAACTTCTCAGGCTTGTCTTTGTCTCCTGCGCAAGTAAACACACCCTTAAAGCCAGCGCACACTAGCCCTCCTCCTTCCGGACTCCTATTCCACCAGCCTGCCAGCACTGTTTTACTGAACACTTTAACTAGCACCTTCACCTAGTGGGAAGACAAACAGATCAGCGTGCGTGATTAAGTGCATCTAGCACTAACTGTGCATAACGCTACCTTTCCAACTGTTTACACTGGCTTTGAAAAACAAATTATCTTAAGCGAGTTTGGGCACGGCCCTCTGTTTCTCTCCTGTCCTCGTCCTCCCTTTTATCTCCTTCTCGTTCTTCTTTAATTAATGACGCACCCGACCTGTAATTGGCACGACTTCTGATCTTCTCACCCCCTTTCATTTTTAACCGATGATGGTCCCCGGCGTGTCGTTTTCAGAGAAGATCAAAAAGGGTTCCGCACCCCCTCGCCGGCGTTCTGGAGGTTGCCTACAGCAAATCAAAGCAGAGAGCCACCTCAAAGATCCGACGGCCGGACACTGTGGCAGCTAATAAATGGGTTTCTGCTGGTGGGACAGGGATGGTAGAAACACCAGCCGAGGCTTCTTTGACTCTAGTTCAGGCTTAAGTTGCATGTTCAGGACTAGAGCTTGATATTGGTAGCAAATTCACACTGAAGCTGGACCATTTCAGGGCAGCCAATCAGAGCTCATGTACATTTATCAGCCTTAAAGGCACAGTAACAAAAACAGCCTGTTTAATTATAAAGGATGAAGAGAAGTTTTAAAATGGTCATGTAAAAATTAATTATGACTGTTTTTGGAATATAAAATCATACAAAACAAAACAAAAGTGGAGCTCAGCACACTTAAAAATGATGGTTCTTCAAGGGTTCTTTAGCAAAGAAAACGGTTCTATATAGAACCATGAACACTCAGAGAACCCTTTGCATGTTTAAACGGATCTTTGCGTTGTGAAATGGAAACTCAGCCCATCGAGGACTAAAGAAGTTAATTACAGCCAGGTTGACCTCCTGGACCAGGGTTGGTGACCACTGGTGTAAAGCCTCCAGTCCAGGTTCTGGAGTCCTATCCAATGGGAGAGCAGCTTGGCTGTAGCATGGAGAAGAACATTGGATATTTTCTCTGTGTTTAAAGATTTTAAACCAAAATTTTAAACCTTTTCTTTCCAACTAAAACACTGAAATAAGGGTCATTCTTCAGAAACGTCCACTTCTTTATCTCTCCATAGGAGACACTGGTGTTACTGATCCTCATTGGTGTTACACATAATAAAGGAACACCAGAGACATTTTTAATGAAAAATGCATTTTACAAAATAACTGCTACAGACATCAAACCACATGTTGTCAATCATGGAATATCCACTAAAATATGGAATTTAATCCATTTGTATTCTATTTTTTCACAGTGACCTCAGAATAAAGTCGGTCACACCAGTGACTTCAGCTAAAAGCTTCATATGAAATCATGAGCTAAATGAGAAAATCTCTGATAACTGAAAGACACAGTGGACTCACCATGAGCTTTTCTTCATAGATCCTCAGAAAACAGGTAAAAGGAAGTCGAGTGATGTCATCAGTGTGACTTTTATTTCAAAATAAGAGATTTTTTGTTACGCAGTAACACCAGTGACACGACTCCTGGGGAACTTTCATTATATATTTTATAATATTTATTTAACTTTTGTTTTCTTTGTCATTTATTTTATATATTTCATAGTCATGTATAGATTATTGCAGTTAAAATTGCAGAAAAACATGGTTTTTACCTCAAAATATGGTCTCACCCTTCACACATGACTGTGAGGACGAGCTCTTCTGTGGTGCTTGGAATTCTATATGATTGATTTAAGAACCAATATTGCTAAATTGAGGCTCAAGAAGGTGTAATTATTAAAATAACTTATTGTTTTATTTTAAAATATAAATTAATTGTAACACTAACATGCTTTTTTAAGTGTAATATATCTGTAAACGCTAGGGACACAAAAATGGACGTTTCCATAGAATGACTCATAAGAATATTCCTAAAGTACTTGCAGAGTTTAAATACAACAACCATGATGATTCTATTAAATAAAAGTGAACTAAAAATTACAGATGGTTTTTTTTTCTCAGAAGCCATTAGGCCTTCTCTAAAGGGTTCTCTGAGGGTTCCCCACTGCTGGAATTCAATCCCAGTCCTACCATCCACAGCACTTTATTGGTCCGGTTGGTAAAGCCAGGAAAGAACGTTCGGTGACTTCAGGCGATTTCAAAACGGCCCAACATGGCTGAGCAATATAACCAAAGCCATAAGTTCCAGTCTAATGCTTTTTTAATAATAAAAACACAAAATTGCATTGGCAGACGGAATCTGATGAAAAGTAAAAGCCCAGAAATCCACAAAACATCGCATTCCAGCGCAATCCAATAAAGAGAAGTGTATTCAGGCTCGGAGATGAAGACGATCTTGTTTTAATAAAAGCTTGAAAGCACGTTGTTCTTCTATTCTCCTTATGTTTCCAATGCTGGCTGTAAGAGAGGCGGAGGAGAGATGGAGGAGGGCACCTCTCAAGACTCTGTAAGCGGGAGGCGGTCGATTCGGGAGGGTTCAAATGAAGAGCTGATTGTTAAACAAGTCCAGATGCTCGGTGCCAGCCGGTTCCCCACCCGTCAGGTCGCTGATCCTTGTTTTGGGTTCAGGGCTCTAGTGGAGATTAGATTGATTCAGCCTGTTACTGCAGGGCAGACTACAAAGACAGTTCACCCCCAATGCTCAGCCTGATAATTGGAGCTATTACGTTAATTGCGGCGTCACTTGTTTTGACGAGCGGATGGGAAGATGAATAGATGGATGAAAACAGCCGCCCTACCTGGGAAGTCAGACTGTGAAGGGTCATCCGTGGGTCAGAAAAGTCATTAAGCGCTCCCTTTTTTTAACCCTGAGAGACGATGGTTTCGCCAGCGATTATCTCTGAATCGTAGCTCACTGAAACGAGTGGAGAAATGGCATGGAAAGTGCAGACACTTTCAGTCCGAACCACATTTGTGTTTGAAAGTAGAAGAGCAGATATTTTATTATGATTTGAATTTGATTAAACAGCCTTTGCGTTTTTGCTGTTTTTAAAATGTAGAAGTCCAGACAGGTTCATCGAATGTAAATGTAATAATTACGCAGTTACATCTAAAGTTCAGTTTCATTTCCTTCTAAGGCCGCAGCTGGAAAATTACATAAAAATCATGACAAGAACATGTATTTTATTTGTGTCCCTCACACTTGAAAATGAAAAGGGTTCTTCAGTAAGGAAAATGGTTCTGTATAGAACTGTGAACACTCAAAGAACCCTTTGCATGATTAAAGCAACAGAGTCTGGCTGCCGACCTGAACTCTCAGACAGATGCACTCTCTGCCACAACGGCAGAAGCAGCTCAACGGCACGGTAACGTTTGGCTGCTTCTGCTTAGCGACATCATCACTTAATCCATTTTTTGTCCATAACACGGCTAGAAAGATTTAATGAACCTCAATGTTGAAAAAAATCATAGAACCCATTAAAAGTGCCTGTTGGTTCCTGGTGGTTTCAGCAGTCGCTAATGGTATTCTGTGTTTTCCTGATGGGTTGATATCACAGCGTAAAGGATTCAGATCCTTTAATCAGGTGTTTTTGGGGCTCATTTAAGATACATTTGTTTTCTAATGGTCTCTAATGGCAACTATCAAGCCAATTCCCATTAGGAAGCAAAACCATCAGGTTTTATTCCTAACAGTTCTAATCGTCTTCAGCTTGGCTTTCATCAGTTTCAGCCGTAGCCTGTTTGTTTTTTCTGTGAACAAACCCGACATTCATGTCTTTATCGGTTTTATTTCGAAAGTTTCCATATTTAATTACTGTATTATCAGCATGACAGCGTTAATATACATTCAGTGTAGCTCTTGTTGCCCAGCAGTTTGTGTTTCACTGTTTTTCCTCATAAAACCGACATAAACACTGTCGGGGCAGAGCGGCACTGAGGTCACTAATAGGCTGGTGGTGCATGTCAGGCTGGGAGAGCATGTCTGCAGCCAGAACCTTCTCGATTAAAGGGTTCTTTGCATTGTAAAATGGTTCTTCAGATTGATGGAGAATGTGCTGTAGATGTGCTGAAAATGGACCTATATAGCACCAAAAACGGTTCTGCTGTTGTTACGATGTCAAGCATTTTACAATAGAAGCACATAAAACCAAATAAATACTGTAAGTGGACCTTTGTCATTTTCTTTACCTTCTACTTTCTTTAATGATGTCTTTGTAACTCTCCCTGCAAAAGCCTTTCTGAGCTGCTTGATCTCAGGAGTGTTATAAGCTGTATTAATGTCTAATACTGTATTTTGTTCGTGTAAAGCACTTTGAACTGCCACTGTGTATGAAAAGTGCTATACAACTAAACTTGCTTCGCCTCAGAAAAATCTAAGACGTGTCCTCTGAGTAATATTCTTACTGAGATTCTTACAACAATCTACAGATGAGAAATATTAGATGTATTGGCTGTTTCAATGTATATATTGCTTTTTTGCTCACTGGGGAGCCCAGAGCTACTTTAAAATGGTTCCTGTGTTTTGCCTGGAGCCCCAGAATCAGTCAGTCCGCTCCTGATTAAAACTGTAAACAATAACTTTTAATCAAATTCAAATGATAATAAATTGTCTCCTCTTCTGCTCACAAACACAAATGTGTTGTTTATTGCCTGTGTTTTCCACACAATGTCTACACACACAATTCGTATTGAATTATAGCATTATTTTCTTATGGGCGCTGATAATTATGAGTTCTAAGGCTTAAGAAGCTCTTGATGTTCTGTCAGGGTTTTATTTAGATTGTTTGTGTTTTCAGAGCTGCGGTTACGGCACCAAAGACGAGGATTACGCCTGTGTTCCCTGCCCGGCGGGAAAGTTTTCAAAAGGAAAGTATGAAATCTGCCGGAGGCATAAAGACTGTGACTCTCTGTACCGGGCCACCGTGCTGACCGCGGGGACGCCGCAGAGCGACGCCGAGTGTGGGCCCTGCCTGCCCGGGTGAGTGGACACTAACACTCTGAAACTCTAAAGGAAATAACACCTCAGTATCACTATGAAAGATCACAACACAGATTACCCACTAAATAATAAATAATAAATAATAATAATACAAATACTAGATTATTTTCATATTTTAGGGACCGTCCAGTAGTTCTGTCTCTTTACCAAGAGACTGGAAAAGCTGTTGGGGACCTATTTGGACTTACGTTTGTGTTTTTTTATGGGCGAATCTTTATTTTGGGAAGTACTCCAATTAGTACACACTTAAAAAAGATGGTTCTTGAAGGGTTCTGTAATAAAGAAAATGATTCTATATAGCAACGTGAACATGGCATGATTAATGGTTTTTTTTGCATCATTAAATGGTTCTTCAGATTCAGGAGAGTGTGCTTTAGATGGTCCTACATAGAACCTTTTTGAAAATGGTTCTATATATATATGCCCCTAAATAGGTTCTTCTATTGTTACAAGCTGGACACCATCACAAAAGAAGAATGTGTTTTGGTGCTACATAGAACCCTTTTCAAAAAGGTTGTATATAGAACCATCTACAGCACATTCTCCACCAATCTAAAGAACCCTTTTACGATGCAGTGAACCCTTTAATCATGCAATGTTCATGGTTCTAAGCATGCAAAGGGTTCTTTACATGTTCATGATTCTATATAGAAACATTTTCCTTACTAAAGAACCCTTAAAGAACCATAAGAGTGTAGGGAAGAATGATAAATACCTCCTTAACGTATTATTGGTAGCCAGTAAACAGACCATAACAAGAAAATAGAGGCATCAGGATCCCCCAACAAAAAACAGTGGATTGAAATTGTCTAAATTTATTCAATTTATTTATTTATTTATTTTTTTACTTTTGTAAATAAGTAGCTTGTTCATGGTAGTTTTTACATATTGTGCATGGAATTAGAGTCATTATATAAAAAACTATAAAGGAAAATGTTAACGGGGATTTGAATCTGAGCGTTTTTCTGATGTTTCTACATGGAGCTGCACAGATACAGACGTCGGCAGTGGTGCCACCGACACCCCGCCGCTCTGAAATTGGTCACAGCGCTGCTCGTCGCTGCCGTCTCACTCAAAGAGTGCCGTGGAAACAGCGAGGGAGATAAACTGTTACAGAGCGGTGCTGTGTACGGGCGCGGGCTGCGAGGGTCTCGCTTTTACTGAACCCACTTAAAGAGCAAAGTCTGGTTTCAATTGCTTTTAATGTAAATATACAAAGTGCTGCTTCTTAAAAGAACATTATTGAGTGTGTTTAATATACTCTCCCAGGCTGCTCAGGGCCGCTGCCTCCTCAAAGCCCCGACCGGTTGCACTCATTTCTTTTTTTTTCTTACGGGCCGGGCCCGAATTAAAACGTTATTTCCTTTCAGTTGCCCAATATAATGTCTTTGATCCAGAGAAATGTGGACAGGCATCGCTGATTATATTACATTTTTGGTAATATTTTTATTATATTTCTTCTGGTTTGATGACTGAGTGAGTCAGAGTTCATAAAACGGTACACAGACCTTTAGAAGCCCAGAGTAATTACTGTGCTATTTAAATTATATGGTTAACTTTTTGTTTGTTTTGATGTCAGAAAAAATGACAAAAAGAGTAAAAACTATAAAGGATGCAAAACAAGACTTTACCCACAAGAACAAAAACTTCTCATTAAATTCAAATCATAATTAAAAGTCTCCTCTTCTACTTACTAACACAGATGTGGGATGAATTGAAAGTTTGAAATATGCACTTTTCATACGATTTCTCCCTGTTTTATAGAGCTGCAAGTAACAAATAACTGTTTAGTGACAAATAATGAAAGAAACGAATGGCATAAGAGGGAAAAGCAGCAAAAATTAGCAGAAAAACAAGAACAAAAACTATAAACGTTTGTTTTAAACATTATTAACTGAAGAATGTGGACTGTATTGACCTTTCCGCTGAATTAGTTCAGTTAGTAGGTCCCACAGTAAATAAAAAAAAATAATATTTGGACTTTTTTATGTTATAGTCTATTTAAACCAAGGCATTAATAGAGATAGTAATAAGTTAAATATGTAAAATTATCGTTTATAGAGTAGTTTCTATTGGCAAGAGTCTGTCCCAATAAATTTCCCTAAATTTACCCCTAAATTTGAAACTTACATTTAATTTTTCAATGCTGTTTTTAAAAGAGCATTTTGATGTCTTTTATTATGAAGTTGTAAGATTTAGATTTATCACAAGTTTAATGTTTTAGGTAAAAAACCTCAGAAAATGCTGTCCTACGTTTTCATGTCACTACCGAAATACAAAGACTTCTAGTCTGTAGGCGGAGCCTTATTTTAGCCACGCCCCTGCATTTTAGAGCAGGAAGTGTGGCTGTATCCCTATCCCTCACGGCCACATGGTGAGCAGTTAGATCCCACTGTTTTGAAGTAAATGTGTCCCAAAGTCTGAAAATCAGTGTGGAACATTTAGAATCGTCAATACCGAAACACATTTTCTGCAATTAAACATGAAACATTTTTGTGTTTTAATGAAAAATATGATGACTTTATGTGTGTCCAACTGTCCAAACTTTTCTTGTCATGTACTGACCAGCTTTTTCAAGTTCTGCTCGAAATGAGCTAAAAGTATCACTGCTGTAACAGTCACTACTGAAACATTTGGTAAAGTTAGTGACAAAATGTAATGTTGACTCGTTTGTTTTAATAAAATAAACTTAACTGAGGTGTGGAGTCATTCAAAGCTGTTTGAACCAATTCAGTAGAATGATCCACATGTAATTTTTAATTCAAGCATGTGTTTTTTTTTAACCCAGCAAATTCCATTCAAATTTTCCAGCGGAAAATATATATAAATAATAATTTGTGACAGTCGGATGTGCATGACTGGATGACCTCCATTTTAAAATGAAAGCTACAGCCAGTTGCATTCCATGGAAGAAAAATACTTTCACCACACGAAACGTGGTTTACAAAAACTGACTGTTTTATTGTTGAAAATTTAAATGGGGCATGAGCCGAAATACAGAGCCCTCAGATTCAAACTGAGCTGAAATGAGAATATTTGGCTTCTAATGTCGCTCTTTGGTCTCAGCTGTAAACGCCCTGGAATGAGCTGGTGAGGGAGTGTTCATTTACAAACCCAGGACTGTCCAGGCCTCCTTTCTTATTTGTGTATCCTGACTTTAGCAAGAACCAGCAGATCAGTATGGCGGAAATGTACCGTATAGCACCAGGCAGGGGCTCCCAGAGTGTAGTCTAGTGGTGAGGTTGCAACTGAATCCCCCTCCCACACCCCTCCCTTTCCAAGCATGTAGTAGAACCTACGGTGGTGTCAGGTTTTCCGCCATCGCCTATCCTGATTTGGTTTTGCTTCTTTATGTTTTTGCTTCTTTCATGGCGATGATTGACCCTCCCTCGCTATTTTTAGTGCTGAATAATACGTTTGATCCTCCCTTTGTCAAAATTTGGGTTCTCAAACTTCTCACAATGTAAAACATTTAGCCAGCACCGGGACAACGACTGATTTTTATTCTTTCTACGTCTTCCAACCAGAGCTACAGCACCACCAAATTCAAGCTGCTGCTTCAGCATAAACACATGAAAGGCGCCCTCTAGAGTCAGTGTTTGGTTTGGCTGTTCTGGGCTTCTGTAGAAACATGGCGGCGGCAGCCTCTGTTGGAAGAGTAGCCACTCAATATCTGTATCTGAAGGGCTCATTCTAAGCTAATGTAAACACAATGATTCGTAGTTACAGGTGATTATACACTAATCAAAACATAGTTTTGTTTACTATATTCCGCTTCTGCTAAAAAGACCCCTCTAAATGTTACATACTGCACCTTTAAAGCTGCTCTGATTTCAATAAAGTATCAAAAAAAATTTTGAACGATAGTGAAAATTATGTAAATGTAAAACTCCATGGTTGATGTGTCTCTCACTGTCAGTGATCTAAACCAGCCATCTGGGTGCAGCCTATCAGCGTAAAGTGGGCAGGGAGGGGGTGTGGCTTAGGCAATGGACACACCCACATACAGATGACTGAGTTTTTATTCTGAGGAGCTTATAAATTCTAGGGGTTGTGATTTTTGGGGTTGATTTTGTCAAAGTGTGGTGAGAAAAAAAATTCTGTTAGAGAATTTTTATTTATCAAAGCCAAACCAACTTGTGCAGTAGAAAAGTATTCAAAGTGTGAGGTGGTGGTGAAGCAGGACACAAATGCAGGTGTGCAGGTCAGGGGATGAGGGGATGGAAAATACCAAAAAAATTATATTGAAATAAATGAAACAAAGGACTACTTGTTATTTTTGTGATCTAGTATTTCTTTATTTTCATAATCTAATTTAGTGATGTTGCTTTAAGTTATGCAGTTAATAACAAATGGTCAAATTTAGTATCACATGAGACATCCTGCCAGAGGGCGGGTTCCAAAAAACTGGGAAGGAGGCCTCACAGAGAAAAACTCGGGGGAATGTCTGGTGTGGTATAAAATTAGAGTCAAGACATATTTCGATTTGAATCTTGACCTCAGAATTGAAAATGGTATCAAACCTAGAAATAAAAATATATTGTTAAGTCTCTAATTACTGTCAAGAAAATTATACAAAAAGAACTGAAAAAACCCCAAAAACACATCACTTGTTAAAAATAAATAAACTAGTGAACTATGTTTGTAATTTGAATGTATTCAGCAGTTTGAGTGCTCAGATTAGTTGTTGTGTTTAGCTAAAAGAGCTCTAAATATTGTTAGACTCAAATGTTATGAATCCAGTCTGTGAGTTATATGACTGGTAAAGTTTATTACGTTGTTATGTTATTATAATAAACATTGCACAACCAGATGTTCTTCACGTGGAAAAACACTAGTAAAGCAATAGTTTGGCATCAAACTCACACAGTACTCTAAATTTAGTCAGTGAGCCAAAAAACGTTCGGTGTCCGAAGTTTACGAACAAAAATAGGCAAAAGTTTGGACAAATTTCAGCTGTTGGTTTTTGTACTTTAGTCCATGTTTATAGTAAACGGTATGTCTGAAACCTCACCATTACGTCTGTTGGAGATTACTTAACATACTCAGGCATGCAGTTAGCACCATGCTAATTGGTGGGATATGTGCTTCCATTACATGTTAGCCACATTAATGTCTTTACTAATTTAGGGTAAGGATGAAAATTGGTTCTTTTAAAATAATCATGTCTTCTGTTTTATAAAACAACATTGTTCTTCCTTCATTCAGGTACTTCATCTTGGAGAGCCGACCGAGGAACATCTACGGCATGGTGTGTCACTCCTGTCAGAACGCTCCGCGGAACACCAAAGAGTGTAAGAGGACATTTTTCTACCGATATCACATGACCAGCCTGATGGACTGGTGGGGTAACCAGAGTCGGGCTGTCACTATGAGTTAGATGAGTAATCAAGTCATCTTGATGATGAATAGAGTTTTAGAAAAAGGGTCAGACAATAAAAATGGACTGAATTGAGAGCATCTGCAGTTTATTAAAGGTGCAGTGTGTAATATTTAGTGGCATCTAGTGGTGAGGTTGCAGATTGCAACCAACTGAATGCCCCTCCTTCACCCCTCCTTTTCCAAGCATGTAGTAGAACCTACGGTGGCTGTCAGGTTTTCTGCCGTCGCCTGTCCCGATTTCGTTTTTGCTTCTTTATGTTTTTGTTAGTATTATAACTAAATAATAACAGACCTTTCATATATATACACCAGCATTCGAAAGTTTGGAATCATTCATTATATGAAAAGTAGTTATTCAATAATATCTTATACAGTGTAGATTGAAATGTCATAAACTAGACACGAAAACGTAAACAGAGTTTATTCACAATCTAAATTATTTTGGGAACAATGGGAAGTTATTATATATGAGAAAACAGTGAATAATAAAGTGTAATTGTCTATTATTAGTAAATAAAACAACTATGAACTGTAAATAGGTAATGGTCAGTGAGATCTGGTCACCCCTTTTCAAACATGAGCCATTCTGTATATTAACTTTATTACAAGTTCAATTGTGATGCGTTCTTAGTTATGGAATCATGTACAGCTCCATTCATCCTAGAAAACATCTTTACAAATTCCTACAAACTGTTTGAACCCTGTACAATATTAGCATCATATTAAAATCATTTTATTCTTTTATTCATAGATCTACAACAAAACTTGGTTTTATATCATTCCAAACTTTTGAACAATGTAGTGCGTATATATATATATATATATATATATATATATATATATATATATATATATATAATACTCTATGTTGCTAAAAATGTAAATGGATTATTTCACTGAATTCAGTTCAAAACACATATTGGACTTTGAACCAACTTGCATTTTTTTTGCTTTGAGTGACTTTATACCTTCATTATATTCACTTTCTTAAAACAGATGGCTGAACATTCAATTTTGTCACGAACAAAATAATCAAACTTTACCAAATGTTTCAGTAGTGACTGTTACGATAGTGACAATTTTAGCTCATTTGGCAAAAAACACTAGCAGTCCATGACTAGCAAACACAGTTTGGACAGTTGGACACATAAAATCATCATATTGTTCATTAAACACAAAAAAGTTTACTTCTTTGCAGAAAATATGTGTTTCGATAGTGACAATTCTTACATGTGGATCATTCTACTGAATTGCTTCAAACAGCTCTGAGTGACTCCACACCTCAGTTACGCTTATTTTATAAAAACAAATGAGGAAACATTCTGTTCTGTCACTAACTTTACCAGATGTTTCAGTTGTGACTGTTACGGTAGTGACAGTTTTAGCTAATTTTGAGAATTACTTGAAAACGCCAGCCAGTACATGACTAGAAAATGCAGTTTGAACAGTTGGACACACATAAAGTCATCATATTTTTCATTACAAAACAAAAATGTTTCATGTTTAATTGCAGAAAATGTGTTTCAGTATTGACGATTCTAAATGTTCCATCCTGATGTTCAGACTTTTGGGCACATTTACTTCAAAACAATGGGATCTAACTGCTCACCATGTGGCCATGAGGGACAGGGATGCAGCTTCACTTCCTCCTCTAAAATGCAGGGGTGTGGCTTGAATAAGGCTCCACCTACATGCTAAAACTCTGTGTTTCAGTGGTGACATGAAAATGCTGGACAGCATTTATATAACTACAGATTTTTGTTTTAAAAAAGTTAACTCATAATAATTAAGAGATCAAAAAGATTAAAAAAAAACATTGAAACAAAAATAAAGTATTATTTTCACAAGTGTAAATTTAAGGTTTAGGGTTTAGGACAAACACCTCCCAACAGAAAGACCCCTCTGAATGATGATTTTGTATATATTTGGCTGATTATTATCTCTATTGATGCCTTAGATTTAAGATTGTTTCATAATCCCTGTAAATATCCAATGTCTGAATACTTAAATGTTTTTAAATGTTTTAATACTTGACTGTTTTTGAACTAATTCATTAGAATAGTCCATTTAAATGTCCACCAGGCTCTGTTTTGTACTGTAAGTGTGCAGTAGGACATTTTAAACTGTCTTATTATCGTGTGAACTGACAGCCGATCACTGCTGATTCCTTGATAAGGTTAATTTCAGTGGATTTTTTAATGGAGTATTTAAGTTTAGCAGATTAATCGTGACAACTCTACTCCAGAGCCGTTTCTCTTAAGCTTTTAACAACCATCTCACACAAACTCGTCGCTTTCTGTACTCCTCTCTCTGCCTCTGTAATCCTCCTTCTCTCCTTCACCTCTCCGTCTGTCCTGCCAGTACATAAATACTCAATTACGCTAAATGCTTCCAGTCGCGCTGTGCTAGCTTGATGCGTTCTCTTTTAAAAGAGCTTAGCACAGGGCCCACACACACACACACACACAGATATATTCACCCGCGGTTCAGAAACCCAGAACTCTCGACCGCGACCCTTTTAATGGTACAAATAGCAGGTCATCAATAAAGCTGCGGCTAGAGAGCAGGAGGCCTGCCTGGAGTCCATCAGCGGCTGAATATGATGAATATTTAAAGATTTATTTGCCTTGCCTTGGTTGGGGTTTGGTGTTTGGCAGATCGATGCTAACTCGCTGATTAAGAACGCATACCTGAAGCGCTGAGTCTGAGGAACAAACCACACAGTCACTGTGACACATAGCAGAGCCGACGCTAGGCACTAACCGCCGTTCTAGCAGGCTGCACTGTTTTGGAGGGAAAAAAACTTAAGGGACGAAAAATAGGAGCAGTTTTGTTTTATTTCGTCTCAATTTCAGTGCATTACACCCATCAAATCGGGCCGTTAACTTCCCCAGCCGTATTTTGCAGTAACTACATGGCAAAAAAAGTATTAAAACCAGTCAGCAGTCAACATTTCCACCGTAATAATAAATAACAGAGCATTTACCAACATGACATCAAAAATAAACTGCTGGATAAGTTAACTGCTGATGTCTAGGCTTTAAAAAAATGCAGATAAGTATTTACGTTTTCACTCTTTTGTGCATGTATGTCACTGGAACAAAGAACCAAAAGCTTTAATGCATAATTTTTAGAGTCCCTGTCAGACATTATCTGAGAAATACCTGGACAAAGAAACTACTCATAAGTTCAATAAATAAAATAAAATAAATATCATGTATTATTTGTGTGTGCATCTTACTCCCATAACCTGCAGATGTTTGCTTTTGTGGCACAAACCGAGTTTCCAGAGTGTTAAGATTGTTCAAATTTAAATGCAGTGTAAATCGCTGCTGTTGGAGCAAAACATCTCCAAAAAATCTCCATTTTTGTTGTTTTTCAGTTTTTGACATAGTGTGAAAATGTCTGTTCCCCTTTACACTGTGTGTGATTTTCATGATGAATGGACCAAAATGACTTTTGAATTCTGGTTCCATTGACTTACATTAAAAGTAAAGTATGTTCTTTGCTTCTCCTATAAAGTTGTCATTTTGGAGATGCGAGGTTTTGTTTCCGACAGCAGTGATATGACAGACACCATTAAATTTTATTGTCAATGTCAAAACGGTCAGGGAAAACACTTTTTCGCCTGCCCAATCCAGCAAAACTGGGTAAAACTGCCCAATATGGCAACCCTGCGTGGGAGTTAATTCAGTCAAGCCTGATTTGGGGATTTGGGATTTGGCTAAAATAGCAAGCTAATAATCTTATTTACAAAGCAGTGATTAAAATGCTGTTAGAATATTAAATCATCAATCAGTCACTCAAGAAATGAGATGAAATACAGTGCTTCAGCACCATATCTCTGAACTATAAAATGTCTGCAAATTAACTTTTATCCCACTAAAGAAATGTTATTGTTTAGTTTTCTGGCAGTTTTACAGCACTGATGTGTAATTTGCAACTGCCGTCTGTCCAAAAAAAGCTATTTTTCCAAGAGATTTTGACAGATTTTGACTTTTTTAACATGAAAAACGTTAAAAAATCAGTAGTTTTTACATGACAAGTTGTGCTTTTTCAGTCGGTTCACCATCATAAGAGTGGTTTTATGATTTATCCCTTACTTTTCCACACTGGCACTTGTCAAAGAACTATATAAAAAACACACAGTACAGGAAAATATACATATTCTCATAATTTAGTGAACATTTCCCACTCTAAAGATAAATATAAGAATATAAGAAATGAAAGAAAAAAGATTACGGTTTTTAATGAAGCCATGTCATCACATCAGTTCATCAAACGTCAGCCAGATCAGATGGAAAGAGATGCAAAGCAACAGCCGCATGTCATTAAGCTAAAGTTAAAACCCAAAAGGCTGCGTTCTCCGAGACGTAGGCTTGGTAAAGCCACCCTGTGGACGGACTGGATTAATAAAAGATGGCACGGAACAACAAACAGCTGCTTGGCAGGCGCTTCGCCTTGTAGTGGCTCCATAAACATGATGCACTACCTCAAGAATTGTTTTTAAAGTCGCAAATTGTATCAGTACGAGATCAGAAACTCCGATCAAAATGCTAATTCAGTGTGAGTGATTTGTTGCATATGCAAATTACATGCAATATTAATAATTCCGTAATAGTAGGAAAGCCGTAGCTCGTTCCAGACTTGAGGCGCTCAGCAGAGAAACCGTTCCACTAGTTTCCAGCAAAGCAGACATTTTCAGAGTCTCTAATTGTTTTTCTTTAGTCAGGACGAGTGGGAGAGACGAGGCAGGTGGAGGTACGTTTTAATGAAAGGCCTCAAACCAGTGCGTCTAATGTAAAACTATGCAGGGGGAAAGCGTGGAGTCGCTTGTTTTGGTGTAAAGGCGTGCTGGCACTTGCCAGGTAATCTGCAAATTGCATTCGGTTTGCGTATAATAATTAAAAGTTTGGAGGGCATAAAAAGATTATTAACTTGCTTCTGCTTGCAGTGAAAGCTCAAAAATGTCTCCTGTCTACTTCCACTGTCCAGCCTGTCTGATATGCCTTGCAGGCCTGTCACAATTTAGACGGAACCAAAGGTGAATTCTCCCTTGTCGTTCTCCTTCACTGAAGCCTTTTCTTTCTGATCAGCCTGAACCTCAGCGTATAATATGATATAATACAAACCTCAATTCCGAAAAAAGTGAATATCTGTTTGACCTGTATTAAATAGAAAACAGTACAAAACATGATGTTTGATGTTTTACCTTTTGAACTCTGTTATATTTTTGGACGTTTACACACATTCCAGATTTGTTGTTTGCAACCACCACTGTGTCACATTACCTTTCCTTTAAACAACACTTGATAATCATTTTAGAATTGAAGACACCTCTAATATTGAAAGATAATTTTTTTTGCCATTTTTTACATTATAATAGTTTTCAGCTGCGCAAACGTATAGTGTTATATAGTCAGCTGCCCGACAGTACACGGTCTTCTTTGCCGTATAATGCACCAGACGTTTTCGATGGGAGACAGTTCTTGACTGCAGCCAGGCTACTCTAGCACCCACACTCTCTGATTATGTAGCCATGCTGGTTTAACACATGCAGAATGTGGTTTGGTGACGTCATGAAAAAGACGTCATCTAGAAGGCAGCATAGCGCTGCTGCCAGAACAAAACATGTCTCCAGAATCCTAACTTTACAGGAGAAGGAAAAAAACCATGTAACCAGACTTTTTCCCAAGTAATTTTGGGTAATTTCTTTTGGTTCATTCATCATGAAATTTACACACAATGTAAAAAGCAACAGGCATTTTTAAATTATGACAAAAACTGAAAATTGACAAAAATGGAGATAAGAGGTTTAGCTCCAACAGCTGCGATGTGTTGCTCCAAAATATGTATGCATCATTCAGTGGTGCTTTCACAGATGTGCAAGGTTCCCTCTAATGCAGCCCTACATCATGACAGACTCAGGCTTTTGAACTTTATGCTGGTAACAATCTACATGGTCTACTTCTTCTTTGGCCCAGAGAATATGCAGTTCATTATTTTCATTAACAATCTGAAAGGTTGGCTCTTTTCACTGTTCATCAGTCCATTTCAGATGAGCTTGAGCCCAGAGAAGTAGGCGGTGTTTCTGGATGTTGTTGACATTTGGCTTCCACATAGTACAGTCTCAACTTGCATTTGTGGATACAGCGATGATCAGTATTTATTAAGTTTGTCAAAGCATATCTGAGCCCATGTGGTGACATCCATCACACAAGCATGCTGTCCGTCCGTCACGAGTGTCGAGTTAAGGTTTCAGCCTTGCCCTTTAAGCATTTGATAATGAACCTAGAGGGTGAAATACTTAAAATTCCTGTAATCGCTCTTTGAGGAATGTTATTCTTAAACAGCTGGATTATTCGCTGATGCATTTTTTTTTTTTTGGCAAAGTGGCGGCCCGTCCTTGCTCATCAAGGACTTGGCCTTTCCTGGATGCTACTTTATACCCAATCATAATTAATCACCATTTTAAAATGCCTTTTGAACAGTGTTCCTAGTCTTAAATTGCCCCATCCCAATTTTTGGAATGTGTTACAGATATCAATTTCAGAACGGACATATATTTATAATAAAAAAAAAAACAAAGAATAATTAAGTTGATAACATGAAAAATTACAAATCTTGTTTTTGTATGGTTTTCATTTAAATACAGGTCAAAGCGGATTTACTAATCAGTGCTTTCTGTTTTTAATTTGCATTTCATGTGTGTTACTGGAGATTTTGCATGAGCATGTTTACTGGTACTCAGTAAGACTAGCTTGGTCTTCTGTACAGCCGGCCTCTCTCATCAGAGCCCCCATAACACGCCTCCTGACTGACAGGGCAAAAGGAAATTCATGAGGAAACCTGACACAAGTTGAGATTAATAATCAGTCATAATTAGCAGCCCAAGGCGCTCAAAACCCATTTTTGCTATTTTTCCTTCAGACGGCTTCCTGAAGTCTCGCCAAAACGGCGATCAGGTTCCACTTAGCAGTTTGTGCATCACTGATTTTGCTTGAAATGGGCTTTGAACCTCACCGCCGCTGATAGACGCTAAGCTCCAGCTCGTAGGCAAGCGTCCAGTGGCTGGAAACTGCCTCATAAGGTCACAGTGTGGTGGAACTACATGAATTAGAAAAAGGAGTTTTTCTAATTAAAGTGAGCCATAAGGCACCGCTTCATACTTGCCAACACCTGAGCACCAATAAAAGTTGAGTAGAAACAAATGCCATGGGAGGCCAGGCTCATTTCAAAGGGGTAAAATAGCATTAGCTTTTCTAAATGGCCAGTTAGCATTAGCCTGACGTTGCTGCTCTTTCAGAGCTGTTTACCACCAAGTTAAGCTGTTAAAACGACTCTGGTCAAAACAACATTCCAGGACTCAAACCTATGTTGTCGAAGCCACCACCGCAATAAAAGCGGAACTAGGAGCAATAATGTTTACTGCAGCAGGGAGACGAGGAGAGTCCCTGGCAGGAAGTGGTTTTAAGGGTTATGATGCTAAATGAAACTATTTTTTTTCATTTACAAACCATTTAAATACAACCAAATGAGGAGGCTGTGAGCAGATTCCTCTGCCAGTTTATTAACAGTGTGAATACAGTGCAAGGTTGTCTGGAAGCGTAATGTGTTGACTCAGCTGAGGTTTTAGCCACAGGACTGTGGTCTGCAAGATCAGGCTTGGTGTTGGGTAATGATGTAGTGCTGCTGGTTGCGTCTCTGTTGTGTATAATTTGTCACAAAATCTGATCAGCCAAGACATTTTTGCTCTCTGAATTTTGCTTCTTAAGTTAAGCCTAATGCAGCTAAGCTTATATGCTATCAATTAGCAGTGTGCATGTGATCACACTATTGCACAAAGGGCAAAAAATCACAGACAAAATTTAGGCTGCTACTATTGTTCTTCGCTATGCTAATATACTATGTTAATTCATAGATAACAGCAAGTCTTGTAGTGATTACTTAGCAACACAGTTGAAGGTTTAGACATGCAGTTAGCACCTTTCTATTTGGTAAGGTATAAGCTTTCAGTTCTTGTTAGCTAAATTAGCATTGTAGCTTTACTTGAAACTGAAGAAGCCAACTTCTGACACCAGTGCGCTTAACTATACTTGAGGTAAGGCACAGGGGGGAACTGTGCAAACAAGACTCCATTCATGTCTTCATTTATTCCCCTTTATTTTAGTCCTGATGTCCCTTTAATGTTCCTCTTCTTTGCAGGCATGCGGACGACGTCCGTGGTATCAGGACGTGTCCCTGGAGTCTCCTCTGCTAGTACCACCATTTTCCCTCACGCCGAGAAAGGTTTGACACCATACAGATTAGCATGTCATTTAAATCAGACTAAGGCTACATTTACACAGCTGGTAAAAGTGGCCCAAATCTGATTTTTCGCACCAAATCCGATTTTTTTGTTTGGCTGTTCACATAATCTTTTAAATGTGGTCTTTATGTGACATTAGTCTGAACAGATCAGCTCCTAAACCGACCCACATGCGCAAAAGAACAGAGCTTCATTTGGCTCGTCCAGAGGTAAACAATCATGACGGCCAGCGAATGCCTGTCGCTCCCGGAGCTTTCAGTTACATCTTCATCAGCATCACAGGAGCGATTATCACCCACAATGTGTTTGAGTTACCATAAAAAGGAATCGTTATTCAGTCATGGCCACTTCTTTGGTTTGTGTCCTCGGATTCTTTAAACTGTTCTCTGACGCTGCAGCCTCGGTCTCCTCCGGCTGCGTTCAGCCGTTCCGTTGGAAACCTTTTCGAACACGGAGGGTTTGATAAGTCTCTTCTAATTTTTCGTACAGAAACATCAGCCTAAATATTTATGAGTCTCAGCAGCGCGAAATTATGACGAATATCAAGTTGGACTGACGTAAAAGTCACATGAATTCTGATCTGGCGGTTAAGACTGAGTCGCATTGCTGCAGATCGGATACGTATCAGATTTCAGTACCACATATGAAAGCGTCTCAAATCAGAATTGAAAATGTCAGATTCAATGCGGTTTTTGCTGTTCACACTGACACACATCTGTGTCACATATGAAGGAAAAAATCGGATTTGGGCCACTTTTACCTGCTGTGTAAACAAAGCCTAACTGACTATTTATGATCCACAAACGTGCATCAGCTTCATTTCAAAACCATTTGTGTTCTTCTTCAAAACTGCCATTTGATTATATTCCAGATCCCACTGGGCAGGGTCACCTAGCAACAGCCCTCATCATTGCCATGTCCACCATCTTCATCATGGCCATCGCCATTGTGATGATCATAATGTTCTACATCCTGAAGGCCAAGCCGAGCGGGCAAGGTGCGTCAACATCCAAGAGTTTGGCCCTTCGTTAGCTGGCTGGCTCCGCTGATCTTCCTGATGTTCCTTAAAGGCAGTTTTATTAGCTGTTTACTGAAGCAAGCGATTAAAATCAAGTTACATTAGCTCACTTGGAGCTAATATAGCATACGTTAGCCCTGCCGTGGACCACTGTATTAGTCACGTCCCAGAATACGGTGTCAGTAATACCGCCGTAAGTAATAGCATATGAGTGTCGGATGGTGGTCCTGCAACTTGAGAAGCTTCTTGAAATGTATGAGCGCACACATACACGCACCCAGGGGACCAGGAACCACAATTTGAGCAGCACTGGATTAAGTTTACAGATATTCAGTCTTGCATTCCAGTATCATTCCCATTTCCACAGGCATTAAGTAAAACCAGCAGGGCTTGAAAGAGAGGCAGATTGCATTAGCGAGCGCTAACCAAATCTGTCTTTTCAATCCCAGCATGCTGCTCTGGACAGATCGTGAAGACCATAGAGGCTCCCAGCAACAAGCAAGAAGAGAAGAAAGAGGTTAAAGGTACGTAGGAAACTAAAAGTCATCTGCAGACTTTTGCTTGGTGTTTATGATCTAAAGACGTCAGTCGGTGAATAAAGCTACACACATTTGAGGGATTCTTTTCATCCTTCCAATCTGAGGCCTAACTCATCGACAAAAAGCGCTGCATTCCCTGTCGTCTACAGGGAGGAGACTTCCTGACAGTTTTGCGGTCGCCGTACCTCTTGTGTATTGATGAAAGCTTAGTGGAATGTAGAGATGGCATCAGCAGACAATCCAGAGTTGAATATAGAAGGAAAAAAGGAACAAATCAGATCCGATTCTATAGCAAATCTGTTTGTAGACGCCTGTTTATCCAGCGTTTTTAAAATACCAAATTAGTATTGCTGTCAATAGTAAAGCCTCAGCCGATGTGTATGATTTTAGTAGCAAATTGGTAAAAGAAGAAGTAGTATTGTGCCAGCTCTACTGGAATTTGTAGCTTCACTTCTACCTTTAGGGCAGACTTTGCTGAGGTATAATGGTCTTTCCCTGAGGGCCTCAAAGAGGCATGCGGGAGAATGGCTTCTTCAATTATGCTCACCGTGATTACAGACTTCAGCTGTCAGTTTAAGGCAAGGGGTTAAAACACAGCTAACAGCTATGAGGTGAAAGTTAAGACAGATTCACCACACACGTGAATAAAAGCACGTCAAAGTCGAGGCAAACGGACGATAAGCGAAAACATATGAGGAACGGCAGACGGGGATTTGACTGCCGGTCAGCACCTGCTGCGAACAGAGTCAAGTCCACATGTTTGCAAATGTCCAAATGTGGATCGTGCCTTTCCTCGAGCGTGGAGCTAACGTCAGTCATCTTTCTCTTTATCCCAGCATGCGAGGCTGGCATGTCTGTCTTTTTGAACGTCCGCATTTCCAAGGCCTCGTTTTCTTTTCAGAACATTTGGACATCAGGCCACCTTGCTGTACAGTCTATACCCCATCTTTTGATGTGTTAATAATCCTCTAGGCCTTCATCATTGGTCAGTTTCTGAAACAATTATTTGATATTATCCATAAGTAGTGTTGCACCGATACCGATACTGCATCGGTATCGGCGCTGGTACTGGCACTTAAACACAGTATCGGTATGATGGGGATACCGATACATTTTAACGATACCACAAAGCAATTTCTGATGCATGAATGTGCGTCAGTAGACAGAACTTAACAACACAACGATAGCGTGGGATGACAAGCAGCAGCTGAACAGCTGAGCTGCTTCTTTCGGTAATCACCTGTCTGCTGCTGTGTGGTCACTTATAGTCTGAGTTAATGTTACTGAGAGAGCCGATGGAACCGCTGGACTCTCGTTGTAATGATAGCATTTAGACTAGATTTAGCCTTTAGCATAGCAGCTCGCTGTTTTCCTAAAGAACCTTTAAAACAATTATTTATTAAAGAGCTGTTCCTGTAAATAAGCTGTGTGAGTGAAGAATTCTTTTAAAAGTTTAAAGAACCTCAAACTTTTTTTTTTTCAGAACTGCTAAAGTTTTCTGAGTTTTTGCCTACAAGTACACTCTGTCGGGTCCAACACGTCTGAAAGCTTGTAGACACCAGCGTTTCTCCTAAAGTCAAGGGTGTTAATAGTGAGTTTGTGCTGCAGTAACAGCCTCTACTCCAAATAAAACACTCAGCTTGGCTAGATGTCATTTACTTGTTGTAAACAAAAATCAATAAATCATCTGAAAACCGTAACTAATTCAGCTTAAAACACAAAGGTAAATAAATCAGCCTAAAAGATAATATTAAATCACAAACTCTGCCTAAAATGCAAGGAAAAACCCCTAAATCAACCTAAAACACCAAAGATAAACCAACACAGCAGCTGTCAGGCCTCTTAAGCTCATCGTAGTTTTATAAATAACGATTTTGACTTTGGAGCGGCGTTCTTAGAAGAACCACTTTAGTAATCCAACAAGTAAATGACATCTAGCCAAGCTGAGTGTTTTATTTGTGACACAGAACACAGATTGTACCAAAATATAATATTGTAAAAATGTAATTGTATAAATATCAGGACTTATAGGTGAGGATAGATAAAGTTAGTATCGGTATCAGTATCAGTATTGGAAGGGAAAAAGTGGTATTGTGCATCTCTATCCATAAGGTCATTAGCGATAACTGTTTCAGCCCTAGTTAAAAGCCATGAAAACCAACGATTAAGCCCATCAGTCTGTAGGTTAATAGCAGCAGTATTTTGGACACTTTTGATACTGTTACTGACACTTTTCTCCATTTTCTTCTTTTAAAAAAAGCTCTTGATTGACTGCTACCTCATACACAGTGCTCTCACCAGTCAGCAATGGCTAGATGTCTAGAACATCAGTGAAACATCAGTGATTCACTGTGTTTTCCAGAGGAATTGCAGCAGCATCAGTGGTAAAACTGAGGCCATTCACTAGGTGGACTTGCTAATGATTGCAGTGATTATTTTCACAGATATGCAAAAACGACGGCTTACGTTTCAGCCAGCAGTCAGACTCACTGACAGATGGCAGAAGTGTAGCTGGGAGCAACTGAGTCCTCAGATGAATGGCATCATTGTGAAGGGCTCTGCCAAGTCAGTGATTAACAGCCTCGTTTCCACCGCTGTAGGTGAAGTACTTGCTGGCTCGCTGCTCGTACCGGTCCTTACGAGGAGCACTGCTTTTCTTTTATTATTAGTTTCACATTGAACTTCACTACAGAACTTTCCAAACAGCAGTGAATGTAGTCAAACTACTTTAAATGCCATTTTTCAACATCAGTTTGTGTTCCATTACTCTATAAAAGGAAATCAGAAAATAAGATTTTTTTTAAATTTGCAGTTTTATTTATGCTTTTGAATAAGCGTACTAAATAGTGCTGCAACTAACTAATGATTATTTTCATTGTCGATTAATCTGTTGATTATTTTCTCGATTAATCGATTAGTTGTTTGGTCTATAAAATGTCAGAAAATGGTGAAAAAATGTCGATCAGCGTTTTCCAAAGCCCAAGATGACATCCTCAAATGACTTTTCTTGTCCACACCATAAAATATATTCAGTTTGGTGTAACAGAGGAGTAAAGAAACCAGAAAATATTCAAATGTAAGAGATATTCAAAAATCAGAACATTTTTTCCTTTTTTTTTAAACTACTCAAACCGATTAATCGATTACCAAAATAGTTGGCGATTAATTTAATAGTCGACAACTAATCGATTAATCGATTAATTGTAGCAGCTCTAATACTAAACATGAAAACTTCAAGGTAATAAAGAAAACAAACTTTTATTATTGATAAAATGTACTTTCAGTTGGACAAAACTGAGCTGACGATAAATAAAAATTTTCATAACACAAATTTCCAGCATTCTCCACAACAATGATTGGCCATTCAAAGCAATGAATTCCATTCTTCATACTTTGTACTTTCGAAATTTTTTCATCGTTTCATCAACTGAGTGTACCCATGATGATGCTGTGCTCGCAGTGACTTTCCTTCCTGCTTATGTTGTTTTGCTGTGTTCTGTGTATCGAGTGGGATGTTGTGTTTTCAGCCGGTATTAAGCCTGTAGTGAAGTTCTTGTCTGTTGTTCCTCATAGAAACCATGAAATAGTGGCTGATCAAACTGTTCAAACGCATCTGAGCAGCGCAGGCGAAAAAGTTTTTGTTTTTGTTTTTCGTTTAAAAACTGAAAGTGACACTCTTTACCATTTTTAACCGAAATGTCTTGGTGGCCTTAATTTCGGTGTATCTCTACCTTTTACATAATATTTCCACTGCTCACCTGATGAAGTGTGTGTATTGTATGTACTTCATAACAATAACGTCTTTTGTTATTTGTAGATTATTTTGTGATGTTTACAAAGCATACAGAATCCTTATCTCTCTTTTTGTTTCAGTTTTAGTTTTTGTATGTTGTTTGAAAACATGATCTGCTCTTTATATTGAGTGAAATTTTCATAATGAACGGATAAATAGAAATGGTCCAAAATTGCTTGGAATGAAGTCTTTTTATTTTACCTTCTGTTATAAGTTAACAATGTTTTTTCCTTCTCCTTAAAAGTGACTATTTTGGAGGGTTTTTTTTTCAACACTGAAAATATACAAGAGAAACTCCTACATTGTACCTGGTGAACACAAGAGATTGTGATTCTGACTCTGGTTCTGATATCAGTGCATCTCCAACATGATTTACAGGAGATGGAAAAAACACTCTTAACTTTCAGTGCAAGTTAATGTAAACGGAATTTATTCCAAGCGGTTTTTGGATAATGTCCATTGGTTCATTCATCGTGAAGTTTTACCACAGTGTAAAGGGCAGCTGGTACCTTCAGATGAAGTCAAAAAATTAAAACTGATAAAAATGGAGATGCAATGTTTTGTTCCGAAAGCAACTATATTAAAAATTAAAAATTTGATTGTTTAGCACAGTAGTTCTCAAACTGGTCCTCAAGCATCTTAACGTGTTGTGAGTTGGGTCAGAGCAAAAATCTGGACTGTCTGGGGTCCCTGAGGACCAGTCAGAGAACCACTGGTTTACCCAATCGCAAAAACAAATATAAATGCAATTCTGTGCTAATCCAGACTTTACATATTTATTTAGTGCACTTTTATTAACCATGTTTTTGAATGTTGATTTCAGAGAGTGTTGTGATATTCGCAGAGAAGGACGAATTTGACAAGCTCAAGCCACCTCCTCCAAAAGCAGTGAAAAGGTAAGCCATGAAAACCTGACACCACACATACTTTAAAACTTAGCGAATATATTTATGCATATGTTAAATACTCAGTGAAAAGGCTCTTTATGTGTATTGCATGCCAGTGGTCACCATCCCTGCTTCTGGAGATCAGTGTCCCTGCAGGTTTCACTTTCAACCCAAAGCTATCTCATTTCATTAGTTAATTAGATCTTCTGAAGAGACTGATTAGTTGGACCAGGTGTAGCAGGAATCTTCAGGTCCAGAGTTGTTGACCATTGACGTACATCATCAGGGGAGATGAACTCCGCTCCTGAAGAGCTAGTGTCCAGCAAAGTTTGGTGATCTTCCTACATTAACACACCGGATACAACCTAGCAGCTGATTGTGAAGTTTTGTAGGTTATTTAGAGGAGGAAAATCACCAAACTGTGCAGGACTTCGGCCCCTGGACCACCCTGACCTATGCCATGTAAAGAAGTGGACACCAACTCTACTCCTGGTTATATACTTTCCTGCAGAGTTTAGTTCCAACCTTACATTTACGGCATTTGGCAGACACTCTTATCCACAGCGACTTACAATTTGATCATTTTTACACAGGTAGGTGAAGGTAGTGTTAGGAGTCTTGCCCAGGGACTCATATTGGTATAGTGTAGGGTGCTTACCCAGGCAGGGGACTGAACCCCAGGCTACAGCATAGAAGGCAGAGGTGTTACCCACTACACCAAGGGTGTCCAAACTTTTTTCAAAGAGGGCCAGGTCGTACTGTGTCAAAATATCTGAGGGCCGACATTATTCACAAAAGTCTTCAAAATATCAGTTTGTAGAATTGGAGCTTCCTGTGTGCTACTGTGCCTCTGATCCACCCAGCTGAGGACTTCTGAAGAAGTTAATTAGCTGGAGCAGGTGTAGCAGATTGTGGTAGGAATTAGACTCAACTGGAAGGTAGATCTCCAGGACCAAGGTTGGAGATCACTGATGACTTTAGTTCCAACCCAGATCTAATATGCACAGACCACTTGATCGGGATCTTCTGAAAATCTTTCAAGTATAAGGCATGGTGGATTAAGGTTAGTTAAGCTCTTCATAGTAGATCTTCAGAAGACCCCCAGTAGCAGAGTTGGAGATCAGAGGTCTCCAAATCCAGACCTTTAATCCAGTTTCCAGTCCTGGATTTTGTAATTCTTGGTAGGTGAGACACTAAGTTGCCAATCAGTTACATCAGCTCTTCTGTTAACTACCAGTCCTTACAAAATCCAGGAGGGGAAACTGGATTCAGAGCCCTGATTTGAAGACCTCTGAACTAGACTGTGTAAAGATTTCAGTTCCAAGCCAGAACTAACAGACCATCCAGTTAATCCAAGACTTCCGCAGAGACTGATTAGCATTACTGCTACACTGTAAGAAGGTAGATCTCCAAGACCATGGTTGGTGGCCAGTGATCCAAACAGTCAGTCAGTAAAGCTCTTTATGCACACAAAATCAGTGGTTCTCAAACCTCCACATGGTCCAGTTTTGCTCTGTGCCCTCTAGTTGTCGATAGTTAGGACCAAGCAAAAATACGCCCTTCGGACAGTTTTAAGATGAACTAAACCATCACAAAAAAGCTCTCAGAATTTGCCCATCCACTTCTATCCACCTCCTAAATAAAACAATTACGAGCTGCAGACATTCTGAGAGCTTCTCGTCGAGTTTCTTGAGCGTCCAGAATACAAACAAGTTGTAAATGTGACAGGAAGAACAAAGCAAGTGCAGTCTGCTGGAACGTGAACCATAGCTTCAGAGAGGGTGCGTTTTTTTCTTTATCAGATTTTCTGCTCAAGATAGTACCGGTAATTAAGTCACCACAGGACAAGTTCCGGCAGTGATGTTTAGCTGCTAGCTCTTTCAGTGGGATTCTGCAAAGTGTGGGAGTCGTAGTAAAAGCAAGTGTTTCTGTGCCCCTTTCTTGGGCCTGGCATGGAAAAACCGAGCTCACTTCATCACCCCCAACCTTCTCCTTTGACTGGAAACATTATGTGGCTAATGTGGAAGGGGTGAGTGGGTGAGTGGGTGAGGTAGTTTGGCGTAAACGCGCCCCGTGGCTGCAGGCTCGCCAGAGAAGTTCGTTCTGCACAAACATAATCGACTGCAGTAATTATGAGACGCCTCTGCCAAAACCACCAGGTGAAAACAGCTATGATCGAAAATAAGATGACAGCATTTCACTCCAGTCCCTGTTTTTTCCACGTCTGATACGAAGTGTAAGAGGGCTGCTCGCCTTCACCAATTTCTGTGCAGGCTGTGTTAAAGAAGTGGGGCTGGTCAAAATGGCCAAATTACATCGATCAGGCATAACATTATGACCACCTCCTTGTTTCTACGCTCATTGTCCATTTTATCAGCTCCACTTACTATATAGGTGCACTTTGTAGTTCTACAGTTACAGACTGTAGTCCATCTGTTTCTCTGATACTTTGTTAGCCCCCTTTTACCCTGTTCTTCAGTTGTCAGGACCCCCATAGACCCTCACAGAGCAGGTACTATTTGGGTGGTGGATCATTCTCAGCACTGCAGTAACACTGACGTGGTGGTGGTGTGTTAGTGTGTGTTGTGCTGGTACGAGTGGATCAGACACAGCAGTGCTGCTGGAGTTTTTAAACACTGTGTCCACTCACTGTCCACTCTATTAGACACTCCTACCTTGTCAGTCCACCTTGTAGATGCAAAGTCAGAGACGATAGCTCATCTGCTGCATAGTTTGTGTTGGTCATCCTCTAGTCCTTCATCAGTGGTCACAGGATGCTGCCCACAGGACTCTGTTGGCTGGATATTTTTGGTTGGTGGACTATTCTCAGTCCAGCAGTGACACTGAGGTGTTTAAAAACTCCAGCAGCACTGCTGTGTCTGATCCACTCAGACCAGCACAACACACACTAACACACCACCACATCAGTGTTACTGCAGAGCTGAGAATGATCCACCACCCAACTAGTACCTGCTCTGTGAGGGTCCATGGGGGTCCTGACCACTGAAGAACAGGGTAAAAGTGGGCTAACAAAGTATCAGAGAAACAGATGGACTACAGTCTGTAACTGTAGAACTACAAAGTGCACCTATACAGTAAGTGGAGCTGATAAAATGGACAATGAGTGTAGAAACAAGGAGGTGGTCATAAGGTTATGCCTGATCGGTGTATGTGTGTCCTGAAATTGCTGTCCACTCCATCATAACTGCATGTCAGCTCCTTTGGCATAAAAAACACTACATTGTTTTCCTTTAATGGAGTTAATAAAAACTGCCGCATGTGCAGTAAAAATCCACAATTATATTTCCCAATTTTCATAATGTGGTTGGAGCTGGATGTGGTCAAGCTCAACATGTCCACTCTGTAGTGGTAAATGTTCACTTACTTGCATCTCCCCCTGTCAGAGTGGACACACTGTAAATAAGTACTGTAATTTTACAGGAAATATTTACAAAAACATACTGTTTTCTTAAATTATAATGTTATTGTTATTTGCTACGAACTGATGTCCATTCTTAACAGTTTATTGCGTAATTTCCTACAGCATAAGTTCCTGTTAGCAACTAATTACCAAAAAAAACAGAACAACGAATGGCAAAAAATTGCAGCACCATTTGTCTTCAAATTTAATTTAACTTAATTAAATGTTGTCATTAAATGTCGTCTATCACAGATGTTAAGACAGATAACCTATATAGCATTTGTCTGTAACCTGATGGACACAAATTGTCCGCTTACAGTCACAATATTAAAAGTCGTTTAGCTTCACTTAAATGTTTATTGAGTAATACTACAGTCGAATTAATGTAATCAACTTTCAAACAAAGTAAAAAAAACCTTATGAAAGCAGTTATGAGGCCCCAATGGCACCTTATGCTGATAATAACCCAGCTAAGTCCGACTACATAGCTAAAATCTAGCGCATGCTAACAGACAGACTATAAATACACTGTAGCTACAGAACATCGTTCTCAGTCAGATCTGTTAGCCTGTGCCTGCAAGAAAAAAGAAGACAAGTGAAAAGACAGTGTCTACAAGCAGGAGTCGTCCCCTCCTCCTCCTCTCCACGCTGTGAGGGCGCATAGTGCGGCCTAGCGGCACATGCCAGAGGATGTGCTAATGCAGGCTAGCGGTTGCCAACCCGACTCAGGTGTTGGGTGTCTGTGAAACAATAGCGTTCTGTTAGCATCTCTGAGCTGCCTTTGTCAACAAGGTGCTTTTGGCCCAAGAGGAAGGCGACGCTTCAATTTAGAGATTAGCCTAGCCACAGGCTAAAAACAAGAAGCTAGTCAGTGCCCTGAAGGCTAGATACTGCACTTCGAGGTAAACAGAACTGAAGATAAATGCAGAAAGGCAGGTTTTCAAACGATAAATCAGTGATAAAAGTCTAATCTGTGTTGTGGTTACACTTTGTAGTTCTGAAGGATTTTCTTGTGTGTTTAGCAAAGGCTACAGCGCTAATACTGTAGCCAGGATGTAATAACATGATAAACTCGTCTCTTGTGTGGTTAAGAACGTAATCTCGCTTCATAGCAGAACTAAGAACATTTGTTGTGTTTTTTCCTGTACACCTGTAGTCTGACTACACAATGTTCAGCCATTTCTGGCTTGATGTAATGTTAGCATTTGGTTTCTCTATAGGAAAATATGATTTACTCGTTGTTAAATGACCATGTTGTGAAGGTTAGCTTTTACTGTGGTGACGCTAATACAGCACCAGTAGACCCTGTAACCTTATATCTCTGTGTCCAGTGAAAACGATGCGTCGTCGGAGAACGAGCAGCTGCTGAGCCGCAGCATCGACAGCGACGAGGAGGCGGCGCAGGAGAAGCAGGGCGCTACCGACCTCTGCCTGCTGTCGCTCGTCCACCTCACTCGAGACAAGGCCTCGTCCATCGGCACCATCAACAACAACAACAACAACTGCAGCAGCAGCAAAGCTATGGGGGTGAGACACCAACCTGCACCTCCCTCACCCTCACGTCCATCCCAGCTTGGCTAATGTGGTCTAATGAGAGGTCTAAGCGTGTCCTGATTCAGATTCCTGTAGACTCGCCTTGTAGATCTGCAGAGTCTCAGGATTAAAATACTGCTATTATTATACTACCTACTATTAATGCCTGATTTAGTATATTATGTTTATTTTGTGTGCAAAAGAAAATGTTTTGCTTCAAAGTTGGCTAAATTTCACTTTTCCATCTGCAAAAAGAACTTTGAAATAACCATATTTGTATTGTCATAGATATAACCACACAGTGCACACTTTAAATACAGATAAAACTAAAGTTAAGTAGTATTAAAATAAAATTAATCCAATTTAGTTAAGATATAATTAGCTGTAACTTTAAAATTCTGCAGTAAAATCACTTTATTTTAGTCTGTTCCCACTGTGACCTTTCACAGATATGAAGAGTTTTGTCTACTACTTTTTTAAATATGGTGTCTTGAAAATGTGGATAATGTCAGTTTATGCCACTTTATGGCTCTGTCTGGAGTAAACAGAGCCATAAAGCCGATACCATACAATGATTTATCGTTTATATTGTTTGTACCATGATATTGACACAACATTGCTTAGCAGTATTTTTCTAGTGATATTTTTGAAATATATTTTATATATAATGTTAGATTATTAACTTTATTAAGGCTAACTTACTAACTTACTAAACTTTTTAGCCTTTTTACTGTTAACTTATTAACATCATTAATGCTAACTCATTAACTTTATTAAGGCCAACTTAACTTTATTAAGGCTAACTTAATAATTTTTTAACTTTAAGAGTAATTTGTAATTTTATTAATGCTAATTTATTAACTTTATTCATACCAATTGAACTTTATTAAGTCAGAATTGGTCAAAAAAAAAGTAAAATAAGCACAAATAGAAAAACATAATTAAAAACAACATTAAAACACGATTAAAAGATGATTAAATCAATAAATTTAAAAGACAAAATCATTAAATTAAAAGTCAAATTAGAAATAAAATTAGGATAGTTAAGAAAATCAAAATAAAAACGAAAAGTTAGTTTAAGATAGAAAAAATGCACTTAGTAAGAGTAACTATAAATTTAATAAGGCTAACTTATTAACTTTATTATTTAGAAATTTAATAATTAATTTTTTTAATGCTAACCTAACATAATGCTGACATTAACTATCAGTGCTAACATATAATATTAATCCTAGCTTATTAATTTTATTAATACTAACTTCACTTTATTAATGCTTACTTATTAACTTTATTAACGCTGTGATCAACTCTATTAATTTAAACTTATTAATTTTATTTTTGCTGAAATATCATCTGATAAAGTGATGTATTCAGAAAACGCTGAATTGTTGAAACGTTGATCCGCTCTGATATCGATATTTCAGATTGGATCAGGACGTCCGTTGAAAAGTCCCAGAAAAGTTGGTGTTTTTCGCTGTATAAACCAAAATAAACTCTGCTTGACCTCTAAGCCAATTAACATTAACACAACACAGGAACAAGATCAAAAGATCTTGGTTCAGCCAACTGTGTAACCGCTGCCCTGCTCTTAGAGCCTAATATGTGATGATGGTTCAGGTTTCCACTCTGTGTGACTCAGACTCCTCGTCTTTCTGTGTCGCTGCAGATTCACAGTCGGAGGAAAAAAATCCTGGACTTGTACACAAAAGCTTGCAGTGTTGCAGAGGGTGAGTAGCTCCTTGATAACATGGAGGAATCACGAACACGTCATTCTAGAAACTGCAGACAATGTCGACGTTGTAAAAGCCATCAAGATGATAATAACTACTAATGAGATTCTGTTTGATGTGTCACACCTTTAAACAAGAGCGTTTGGTGTCTGTGACGCCTCTGGTTGCTCATGTGTTGCTTGGTAGATGCTGTGGTTATTCAGGTGGTAGCTAGGTGTGACGGTGTTGCTGGTTGGTTACTATGGTATCTCAGGTGGTTGCTAGGATGTTGCTAGTGTACTTGCATCATGGTGACAGAGTAGTGCACAAACCTCCACAATTCATTCCTATGGGGAAAAAACTGTCAATGAATGATCATTGTACAAAAAACGTGCGTCGCTCCAAGACTGTGGGATGAGTTAGTGGACAAAAATTAGAAAAAGAAGAATAATATACAACCCCAATTCCAAAAAAGTTGGGACGCTGCATAAAATGTAAATAAATGTAAATAAAAATAGAATGCAATAATTTGTAAATCTCATAGACCCATATTTTATTCACAGTAGAACACAGAACACATATCAGATGTTGAAGGTGAGACATTTTACCATTTCAAAAAAAACATTACCTCATTTAGAACTGTCAGTGTCAGTGTCAATATCAGGACTGTATCAGCAGAAAATGCTGGACTCGATATCAGAGGAACATAAGAATGAATCCGATCCAGCATTTTTGCTTGATATCGACCTCGTGCCGATACCTAGTAACCAAACAGTGCCACCTCCAAAGCTCTTGCCTCTGTTTTCTTCCGAGAACTTCTCAGAATCCTCTATTTTAAGTTTTTTTTTTCCAAGTACACTATAAAACCGTGGTTTGTAGGGTCACTGAGAGAGTTTGTCTCCATGCATCTGGAGAGAGTGAACGCTTTTGTTGTTCGTTTGCTATTCTGAGGACATCTGTCACGCATCTTGTATCTTGAATACATTAAGACTGAGCAAACAAAAGCAGGACATTTGGAACCGGGCTTTTCCACCGAGATGTACGTGTGTGTGTACGTGTGTGTGTGTACGTGTGTGTGTGTACGTGTGTGTGTGTACGTGTGTGTGCGTTTTCTTGATGTTTTGACAGCAAAATGAATGCCACCTGGAGTGGCACTGTTCAGAATTAACACTGACCTTTTCGGAGTTTGGGATAATATGTTCCAGCAAAAGTCAAACAAATTTTTAACGTCGTCCCGATTTTTATTCAGACCACCTCGATTTTATGGGGACAGACCAACTGGCAGTGGTTGCTGTGGGGGAATTCATGAATATAAAACCTGGAACCAGCTCAGAACAGACCTGTGGACATACCTGGACCACAGAAAACCAAACATGCTGACGCCCAGCTGGACTCTTGACAGTGCCTGGTCTAAGAAAATAACGTTTGGTCCACTCGGTGAAGACCACCAAAGCACGTCCTGCCAGTATTAACAGAATAGTGTGCCAAACTCTGGAAAAAACTATTTTTACATAAACTCCGTTGTAAGTCGTATGATTAGCCTGTTTGGTCTGTTTGTTTTGCTTCACGCTCTGGTCTGGAATGCTTCAAAATTCTTTTGGAAAGTATTTTTTTTTATTCAACATGTGTGATTATAGAAATGATTTGGTGTCAAACAGTGTTCATCACAACCAGCTTTGAAAACTCTTTCTTCATACAAGTTTGCCTACTTGCAGATGGACTAACAACACAAGGTTCAGTCATCGCTGGATTGATGTAGCACGGATGCCAGTTTCTCTGTAGCAGTTTGAACAAGAAAAAACAGATTTTTATGTTAAATGTCCATGTTAGGCAGTAGCGCCCACTTCCTACTACATTAGGACCCGTACGAAAAATGCTGTAAAGTGTTTATTGAGTGGTGCCATAGAAGAACCATTTGAGTTCTCTAAAAAAGACATTTGCGTTTCTTTCTAAGGAATATTCAAGTTGCACATTTTATGCTTTTCCGGGTTTGTCACACCCACTTTAACTCAATAATGAGCTGTTAACATGCTGATGGATTAGCTGTGTTGGAAGCAGGGAAACCACCAAAAAGTGGAGAGCGTGGGCCTCCAGGACCAGGGTTGAGAAACACTGTTCTAGTGGATTGTAATGGGCTGTACCAACCTTGTAAGAACCAAATCTAATTCAAGAAGCTCATCACTCTGTTTTGCTGTACCAGCTTTTTCTTCCGCCTTGTCCAGAGTGACCACAGACTGGTCTGAGTTTCTACAAAACCCACTAGTTGCCAAGAATTTTGTTTCTTCCAAATTTCCTTCGAGGACTCATTTTAGTTTTGCATCTCTGTGCCAAATATTATTGTCATGTGTATCAAGTTTTATCATCAAAGCAGTAGTTTGGCGATGGAGTAGATCAGCCAAGACATCTTTGGCGTCGGAAGCTGTGGGAAAAAAAATGGACAATTTTTTACGAAAGTACAAAATTCAGGCTTTAAATTGGCTGCTACTACAGTTTTTTAGCTAAGCTTTAGATCGTGCTTATAGATAACCGTTGCTTGTTAGCTATATTAGCCTCGTGCTCCAGTGCTAAAACTAAAGTAGCAAACTTCAGACACCAAGCATGTCTTGGCTGGTCGATTATGTTTAGTGTAAAGGGAAAAATGTGCATTTTTCAGCTTGTAAAATGATGACAGTTTGACGTATGGGTGTTCACTGAGTTGATGTCCGTGTCCCCACAGGTCTGAGCCCCATAGAGCTCCCCTTCGACTGCCTGGAGCGCACGAGCCGCATGCTCAGCTCCACCTACAGCACGGACAGGGCTGTGGTCAAGACGTGGAGGCACCTTGCCGAGAGTTTTGGCCTGCGGAGGGACGAGATCGGGGGCATGACAGACGGGATGCAGCTATTCGACCGGGTCAGCACTGCCGGATACAGCATCCCGGACCTGCTGACCAGGCTGGTCCAAATAGAGAGGCTGGATGTGGTGGAGGCTCTCTGCTTCGACATCCTCGGAGGACCGGAGAGTGGAGCGCCCCCTTCCAGGCAACACCCGACCCTTTCTTCCCGCTGTGCGAGCGTGTAAGAACCGGACACTTTCCTTGCTCCGAATCACATGAAGAATACCCACCCTCCAGAGGTGAAGAGGCTGACAGAGACAGTCGAGTTGGCCCCGTACAGTGGGGCTGTTTTCCACTCCGTGCTTATGCTGATAGGAGAGAAAGCTTGAGCTACTGGTTCAGACTTTGTGGTCAGTCCAAGTTCCACGATGGAACATGAAGTCCTCTCCAGATTCGATGCAAATGGGCAGTTTGTCTTATTTTCAGTGCTTTGTTCAAAACGTCACGTCCAAACAAGTACTGAAGTGGTTGTATACTTTGCGCTGGACGCCCCTATTAATGATATTTCCATGAACAGATTTGTGGTACCCCAAGCATTTAATACAGCCTGTTCTTCATGGGTTTTGGCAACATGCAGATCGACCAGCTTGCACACTTCACCCAGTTCCATTTCTAAAGGTTGTTACATACCAAACGGGATGTGAACAAACGTAAACGGTGTGAAAATGTAAAATATTTAAATGTACTTTTTCGCACAGACACTATACACACCATGTGCCTTATCTTTGGAATTTGGCAGTGTTGTTTATGCTGTGAAAGAAAAACCGAACAAAGATATTATTTGTTTAGACTTAAGGATATCAAATTATGGATAACGCTAGTATCGCAGAGCTGTACTTGATCTTCTAATGAGTATATATGTCCGGAAACAACTTTTGATACTGGATTGCTGCAAAATTCACTGTGTACAAGGGAATGCCACCTCAAAACCTACCCAAAGTCCTCTAGTCTGTGCCCTGTTATTATCCAGAGTACAGTTGATAAAACAAGTAAGACGATCTAGCCGGCATATTGCTGTCTTTAGCTAATGGAACTGTTATTGTCTTGTAATGTTTGCAATGTAACACTCACATATACCTGCTTAATTGGAGGGGCTTTTGAGCCATGCTAACTTATGTTACATCCATGAGTTACCGAGAGGCTTGTCTGTTGGATATCAATGGGCGCAACATCACCTCCTACTTTGAGTTTGCCTTCACAAGGCGCTGGATTGGTTTAGAAATTTCACACTCGGTTTGTTCCCACCCTAATAAGTCTACATTTCCACCCACTTTAAACCCAGAATTTCTCAAGGTTGTCCCCAGACGTTCATGTTACGAGATCCTGTCTCAAACCGCAAGACTAGGCAAACTGTGCCCAAACTTTCCACAGGTGAAAGTAGCAAGAGCGATTCATATCTCTCTCTTCTGTTTGCTGATGTGAGAAGCGTGAGGCTAATCTGAAACGCCTATGCCAGCAAACTCTATTCAGGATATGGTCCAGTTTATATCGTGAGATGTACAACGTTTTCATGGTTTTCCGACATAAATACCATTCGGGTCTCAACTAGAAACTTTTGAGTATCTACCGTACTGTGCAAAAGTCAGCACCACCTTTCATTTATTTAATTCTCAGTTAAAATGTCCATTAAATAAAAGGTGTTCATTTTTCATCTTCAAGAAAAAGAGCAGAAAACATTTAACAGAAAGTGACACAGAAGCTCCAATGTAGTTAAATATAATATCAACATTTTCAGTATTTAGCTTGTTTCCTCTTTGCCTTCGTTTCAGGAGACCCACTTTCAGTTCCTCAAAGAATCTGCAGACACACCTCCAAAGTTCAGTCTTAGAAGCTGGTTGATCATTTTCTGAAGTAATCAAACACATTCAGTGGTGTTGAGGTCTGGACTCTGGGGTGGTCAGTCCATCGTTCAGCTTCTTTGTTTGATGTGTCCGTCTCCTTTTCTCAGTGAGGTTCTTCTTGATCAGCTACACATCCTTTCAGACCCACAGCGCTGAGTCGTCGTCTCACAGTGGAAGGATGGACAGAAACACCTGTGGATGTTTTCAGATCTGAAGCAGCTTGATTTTCTCCTCTCTCTCTTAAGCCTTGAGTGCTCTACACAACTTTCAAAGTCCTAACAGATTATAAAAAGACTGTCCGACTGGTTTTAGCAGATTTTTTGGGCAACTGAAATACTGGGGATCCACACTACTTAACCTTTAAGCTGTTGGTCAACTGAACGACTCACTGAACTCGCACAAACTCACGAGAGCTCACACAATTATAGGAGCAAGTAAACAAAGGTGGAGCTGCTGCAGCTGTTTTCTCTGCCGTTTGTGCTGAAACAGTAAAGACGCAGCAGGTAAACATGTTTTAAGTGGATCGTGGATTAAAAATGTGATCAGTTGGTATTTTTAGAGTTTTAAATGTACATAAACTCGATTTTGCCTTAAACTCAGCTCATTAAAAATCTTCGCTCCACACGTGAGAGACTTTTTCCCATTTCTCTTTGTTTACTTGCTGTATTTTCGTCTTTCACACTCTCTGTTTTCATTGGCTGTTGCAGGAATCTGTTCAGATTGAGTCGTTGACCAGTTTACACTAGTTTATGCTCAGAGTCGGGTCAAAAAAATCAAACATGTTTGATAAACTCCGACTGGTCTGAAACGTGATTGGGAGGATACAAATCTGAGTCTGCGCCCCTCAAACACGACTCGACTCTCTCTCCAACTCTCGACTCTGACTGACCCGAAAATCTGCAGACTAGAGCCGACCAGCTCAGACTCAGCCAGACTGAGAATCAGGGCTAAAATCTGGGGTAAAAGTTGTGTAGAGTAACCCCTGCTTAAGATGAAAGCTTTCAGTGCTGTTTATCTAATGGGGACAGAGTTGGTGTCTTCCAGGTGGTTGTTAGGAGCATCTTTCAATCATTTTTTAAACTCCAGCTTTGGAAACTCTGCTCTCCTGAAATATCTCCTGAAAAATTAATAACATGCATAAAATAAACGAAGAGTGGTCTCTGACTTTTGCACAGTGCTATATGGCAGCACAGCGTAAGAGCCTGAAGACGTTGTTCCGACCCAGCAGTACAATCCAGTGCAGAAGAGATTCCCTTGTAACTCAGCGTGCTCTCCCATGGCTAGCCGCTGGCGCTTGTTCTAATTGGCTGGAATTGGTGTTTTACAACTGTTGGTGTAAAGTGCCTGTGATTTCCAGCACCTCATTAACTAACAAGACCAAATGGAAAAGCCATAAAGCGACCAGGGGGCTGCTGGATAAGTGGTTAACTGCGAGCAGAAGGTAGAAATGAAGCATTAAAAGAGCAAAGAGGGCAGGGACCCGGTACCCATGCAGTGACCCGAGGCCTGGATTTGGACATCCAAATAGGCCGCATTAATAAGCTCAAAGCGACAAGTGCTCCTGACTAAAAGCAGGAATGTTGAACACTCCCCACTAAGACTTCATCTGCGTGGACAGCGTTCAGCTTTTTAGCACATATTCATCTGGTTTAATTTCTGCAATTGCCTGACAGCAAGATAAAGCAGAACTCTGGGAGGAAGAATGTAGAAAGCTATCAAAACATCTGGTTACGATCAGTGACCAACATCTGTACAGACCTGGTCAACTTACCTCATTAACATTATTTTATGACAAGAGTAAAACTTTAGGAAATAGCAGAGGTAAATACAACCCTTTCAGAATATGAGTGTATATATAACTTATTACTGTACATATGCATCATGTTAAGAAGTATCAATAAAATAACTTTTGAAAATTTTCCTTTTTCTGTTTATTTTGTGTCGTCTTTCATTACAGTCTGAGCTGTTGGGACCCTTAATGAAGAAGAACAACACTGCTCTCCTTTTAAGTGTCTTTAAGGTTTTTGCGTTTAACATTCAGTTTTGCTGAAGAACTCAACTTGGTTGGATTTTGAACCATTCATGCCAGACCTTTTGGTAATTTTTGACATCCTTAAGTCCAAGTTTATGGACTGGACCAGGTTCTGAGACCGTCATTCAGAAACACTGAATTTGTTCTCACAAAACTAGTTTTTATTTATGGGAGCTTGAAGGACGCATGAAAATGTTTGTTTTTTAGAAAGACTGTTCTGCTTTCTGGTTGGAGTCATTAAGCTGAAAGGAATGGTTCAAATTTACACTTAGCCCAGATGTAGTCGATCAGCCAAAACATGTTTCTGGTTTAAATTTTGCTTTCTTAGTTTAACACTGTGGCTATGAGGCCAACATTGCTAAGAAACACTAGATGTCAATAGACACCCAAATCTTTTCTTCAAAAACCCAAAAACTTCCCAAAACGTCTCTCACACCCCCCCTAAAACCACATCCACATCTTCATTAAGGTGGCACAGACTTGTCAGTGAGGTTTACTGTGGCTTAATGTATTTATAAAATGAGTAAAAACGTCACAGTGTGGCTGAATATCAGGTGATATTTAGACAAGAAAAGATTTGGGTGACTTTTGACTTCTAGTGTTTATTAGCCCTGTAGCTCTGCCGCTAAACTAAACAACAAATATTTGGAAGCCAAAAACCCTTGGCTGAATCACTACATCCTGGAAATGAAATGTGAGTCCTATACATGTTTATATATATACATATATATATATATATATATACATATATATATATATACACACATATACATATACACACATAAAACCTGAAGCCTGAAGGATGGCTAACACAAACTGTCTATCAACAGATGAGCTACAGTCTCTATCAACACCAGCAAGGATGAGCTACAAGGTAGTGGCTGTAGTAGTTACTCAACATACAACAATAATAATAATAATAATAATAATCTTTATTTATATAACAATCTCAAGGTGCTTAACATACAATTTAGAAAATACAACCCCATTTCCAGATGATGGGACGCTGTGCGAAATGTAAATATAATTAGAATGCAGTGATTTGAAAATCATGTAAACCAAATTTTTTAAGGAAAAAGAACATATCAAATGTTGAAACTGAGAAATTTTATTGTTTTTTGAAAACTATGTGCCCATTTTGAATTTGATGCCAACAACACATTCCAAAAAAGTTGGGACGGGGGCCTGTTTACCACTGTGTTTCATCACCTCTTCTTTAACAGCACTCTGTAAGCGTTTGGGAACTGAGGAGACACTGCTGTAGTTTAGGCAGTGAAACGTCTTCCATTCTTGTTTGATGCAGGATTTCAGCTGCTCAACAGTTTATTTGTCATATTTTTCATTTCACTATGCGCCAAATGTTATCAGTGGTGACAGATCTGGACTGCAGGCAGGTCAGTTTAGCACCCAGACTCTTTTAATACGGAGCAATGCTGCTGTAATACATGCAGAATGTGGTTTGACGTTGTCTTGCTGAAATAATCAAGGCCCTCCCTGAAAAAGACATCGTCTCGATGGCAGCATATGTTGCCAAAACATGTATATATTGTTCAGCATTAATGAACTTTGCAGAAAAAGGAAAACCGTTTCATGAGGTTCAATAGGAGATAATGGAAAACGCAAATTTTTTCCCCAAGTGATTTGAACAGAAATGTTTGTCCATTCATCGTGATATTTTAACACAATGTGAAGAGCGGATGGTATTTTCAAATTACTTCAAAAACTTAAAAAAAAATGGACAAAAATGGAGACACAAAGTTTTGTCCCGGCCATGACAATGTGCTCCAAGAAGAGCTGCCAGCATCACAAATGCTGATGATGTTTGTATGATAAGTTAATCCATCAGGGAAGAACATTCTCTCACAGACACTCTCAACCCATCACTGAGCTGTCCAGCTTCAGGAGATCCGTCACTAACATATTCATGAAGGGGAAATATTCTACTCTGGCTCATTCCAGACCCAAAATGGAGAAAAAAAGAAGAAGAAATAGAAAGAAGGTGCTTTCACAAAGGAAAGAATGGCAGATGCTTTCATGCTTTTTCACTGAAACCAGTCGACATCAGGGAGGGAAATTAGAAGCAGCCTGCGGAGCTCAGGTTTAGAAGAGGAGCTTCTGTGTTTGGAGCAGCGTTTATAAGGGAATGACTCACTCATCAGCATTTCACCCTTCATGCTACACACTGTATCACTTATATTTAGCATAAGCTCCTATCCAGTGTTTATGATTTGAACTGTTAAAATATGGCTGATATGTCTCATGTCTAAAAAAGGCCTATTTCAAATAACTTGGAATTTTTGCTACATATATGTCCATCTATGACGAAATCTAAGTTGGATATAAAGGAAGTTCATATATCGCTGCTGTCGGAAGAAAACCTCGTATCCCTCGTATTTTTCTCGTATTTTTCAGTTTTTGACATAATTTGAAAATGTTGCTCTTTACATTGTGTGTAAATTTCATGATGAATGGACCGAAAGAAACGACCCAAAATGACTTGGGGGGAAA